TCCTTCTTACAATCGTGCATGTCCTACCATTAATAAGTGTCGTTGATAATCAACCAGTATGGCAATATATTACATTCAGGGGCATTATGGGCAGATATAACCTTTGGGTTAGATATATGACCCAGCAAACAGAAAGATGATGGTTTGTGTGAGTACAGAGACAACACTTTCATGCAGGAAACTGTCACTTTTATACAATGTTCTCTGACTCTAATTTATTTAGAGACGGGTAAAAGGGGTATAAAAATACGTTTAGTCAGGACGAGTGACGCCTTCAAAAACCTAGGTATACACCATTGTCTATTTTTGTGCTTAATCAAATATAAAAGTAAATACGATCGTAATTGCTACATTTAAATTTTGTAGATATATAATGGAAATGAACCAGTTATAATGCTTAACATCAATATGTAACAGTAATTATAGCCACAATAATAATGAGCATCGTAGCTTTCAATTTGTTATATGGCCCAAAAAGTTATTATTGTGTATTCGGAATTGACTATATCCAAAACATCCACATGTTGTAGTTCCAGGGATTTCTACAGTTGGACGTAATGAGACGTTTTGTCTGTGTATTTTCGGCCTACTGTATAACTGAGGGAGTACTGGTCCACTGGGTTTCGTTCTCCACTGACCTTGCTTTGATATTTGTCCTGATTTGATGAGTTTGTTTAAAGTCTTTGAGATTAAGTTGACAACCGAATTACATCTAAACTGGGACATGGGTCGGATACATGTACTATTTAAGTTTGTCGGCAAATAGAAAGGTTTTGCCAGGTGTAAAGCAATCGCATATGTCGTTAATATACAGGACGAACAATGGGTTCAATGACTGAGCCCTGGTGGGCAACAATGGTAATGATCTGAAAGTCAAATAAGTGTTGCTCTACTTTTGCCATCAGGGTTTGACCTTCTAGGAAAGACGAGATCTAATTATGCAATTTACCATCAATACCGGGAGTCTAGTTTAAGTAAGAGAGAAGAGTATTGTAATTTATCGAGCGCTTTAGTAAAATTAAAGCAGAGAGTGACAACTAGCTTCCCTTCATCCCTACTGTTTATTGCATGGTCAAAGTAGTTTGTCACAGGTTATGCAAGACATTTTGGAAATAAATTCATGTTGTGAGTGTATAATCAAATAGTGATTATCTAGATGATTGTTGATTGCCTTCCCAATAATCTTGTCTATATCGTAATGTCTATTTGAATCTATTCGCTGATGTTTAGGACTGCAATTGATCAATCTGTTATTGGTATATGTGCACTCTGTATGGATTGCCTTGATATTGTCTTAAGTCACAAGGACTATAAGCAAATATGGATGATGGCTAGCATTGGAATGCAGGTACATCCACCTGACGAGTCTGAGAGAGGACGAAGTGAGCGTCGTGGATTTCAGAGCTACCCACCATCCATCTATGCTTATAATCTTCTCCACAGTTCCAGATATGATGGGAGTATGGTTAATCGGGCTATAGTTGTCTACATCCAGCCTAGGTCCGTTTTTAAAATAAGGGATGATCTATGTAGTTTTCCAATGCCTCAATCAGAGGACAGATACAATATTTTAGTAAGCGGGATATGAATGTCAGAACCTCCGTATTTAATTAAGTTATTATTATTCCCCGACAGCCTATTTGGATGGCTGTCCGCATGTCGAAGGAACGTTTGGTTTAATCTGGCTAGTAGTTGAAAGGGATACGTACCACGGCGTACCCATTCATGATCTGGTGCCTTCAGACAGGTGGGTCCGTTAAAACTAATGTCGTTAGCACCCAGTGTCGAAGACTTTCATGACTACGGATTTTGGGGATATATTTACATTCACAAACTGCATGGACAAGAACTTTCACCTATTCAGATACAACTATTTTGATCACGACTTATAAAATCATGTTGGTGCTCAAATCAAGAAGTTATGCACAGGAATAAAGCTCTTTATAATAAGGTGACTTCAATCACTAGTAGGTTCCAGGCAGTGTTGCTTGCCATATGTAACACAGATTTATAGGTTAGACCTCTTTGCATTGCCTTATAGCGGATAAGAAGGCGATCCAATTTTGGTATATGGGATACTTGAATTGATTTTAAAGCTGATATACCCCTTTTTTCTCCCATGGGACAACTCAGAGAATGTAGCTGGCAAATTTAAAAGCCAAGAAAGAATATAATGTATGTAGCACACAGGTTCTCCTACAGACTAATTAAATATCAGAATTTGGACCCAGAAATGTAATATTTTTTTATCACTGAAGACTGAACAAAATGTCGAACACTAAATTTCCGCACTCATTAATACTTACGTTACTACATTGTATGTTTCCCTATCTCACGTGTTTTGCCCCTATAATTATCTCTTATCCACCCAATACATCTAACAAAACATGCAGTCTTGATGAAACAGGTTATATACTTACGCTTAGTCTCTAACATAGTTACATCATATCTCATGAAAGGGGTGAATATTGGACCTTGATATGGATCCAGACAGGGATATGTTTTGCGTTTGTTAAGTCGATGTGAAAAGATGGAGATATTGATTATAGACCACGAGTATTTAGCGGTTAAACCACTTGGCGTTCAACCAATGAGTTGTACATTCAAACCCCACTCTACCTTGACAGTTTCGGCAACCGAGTGGTTTTATTAGAGTCCTTACAGTGTGTCTAGATGCTAGACGTATAGATATTTACTTAACATTTTTCACGGTATTATGAACTGGTTGGATGACTTCTAACATTATTGTATTCTCCGTACCTATTTGCTACTAATAATATCTTAACAATTATGACCAACTATTGCATTAATACCCTCATTTATAATCTTCAGTCAACTCGTAGGGTTGGCAGTTTCCGTGCAGAATAAGTATTACAGTGTATTATCACTTCGTTTCGTTGGTTCTGAACAGTATAAATAAACTAGATTGTATTGATAAAACTGGGTATTTGTAAACCTGGAAGGTTCGCGGAGATTCAGAAAGTTATTGTACTTCTTAGTTATAAGGTTCTGATTCTATGTTAATCCTTGCTGCTTTTCTTCCAGTGTAGATCTAGCTTCCCTTTGGAAGTGTCCACTGATGAGGCTGGTACCACTTGTTCGAGTAGGGTGTGTCAGCTATTGACTACTCGGTAAAAATTAATTCCACTCCGAGTTTATTTGATCGTGGTTTTTAAACCTTATGGCGACTTTGGAGACAATTTGTTCTAGTGAGGTCAAAACGTGGCATCAGTGCTTAAAGTCACTAACTTGTAGTCTGAGCCATGTTGGCAGATGCAGACTACTTGGTTGGGGTCCGTGTGACTATCGTAACCAATGGTTGGAGACTGTGTGACATAGCTCAGAGTCGATCACAATGGTGTAAGTGTATACACTCTTTATCTTTCCTTAAATCATGAGATTAAAATCGCTTCATACCTTTCTACCGACTAATTCTTTCTTCCTGTACTATGTCCTTATACGCAATCTTTCTTTTATATGTTATCACCACTGAATCAACTATTTCTGTGAATCCGGTGTTCATCTTGTTGTGCTAATGAGGTACGGCAACTTGGAGCAATGCATATATGTGCTTAGTCCTACGTTGTAGCTGACTGAGTGAGTGAGTGAGGTCAAAAAGGTAGGACATATTAACATCCAGATCAATATGTAAGACACAATACCGAAATAAGGTCAACTCGGCGTCTACAATAAGGGGAAAAAGTTTAGACGTATTAAGTGCTCATCGTTGGAGAGTTTAGAAAAACCCGTTAGTAACGTATTTAGTTCCTACGTGCTAAACACTGGAGTGCGGTAACATCCCTAATAAGACATGAAAAAGTTGCTTAGGTGTAATATTCGGAGTAAGGTTTCAAATAAGCAGGTATAAAATCAGAAACATCTTAGCCAATTTTTAGGTAACTTGACTAATGTACTATTTAAACTGACAGTTCGATAGACACCATACGTCTCCTTTCGCATTTAAATATAAGGGTGACGATATCATCATTTCAATCCCTATGTTAAATAGTGTTGTGAGTGATTCTTAAATGGTGTCCCCAAGGAATGACAGCAGTCGTAGTCATAACTCATCAGGCCTCGGCAACGTACCACGTTTAAGGTGGACAAATAATTGAAGAACAGCTCTCTTAGTAGTAAACACTGGTCTTGTGGCTGGTACCGTAGCAGTGTGGTTGTGGAAAGTATTGACAAAAACATTTTCAGAACAGACCTCGTCAAAACAGTTTGATAAACTTCCATCTGTCATATCTGATTCAGGTAGTATAGATGGATTATCGTGCGACATTAATAAGGGAAATCCGTCACTGCGTTCTATTCTTTGCTTAATGCGTGAAAAGAAATCGTTTTGAGACAGTGCGTCTATCGTATGCCAACTCTCCTTCATACGTACTGCAAGATCTAGCTTTAGCCTTTTTTTACATATATTCATGACTTCTTGGTACTCACACGTAAATGATTCGCGACTTGTTGACATGGCTCAGAATCGATCACAATGGCGTCGGTGTATACACTCCCTGTCTTCCCTTAAACTAAGAGATTAAAGTCACTTCATATCTTTCTTTCTACTAACTAACTCTTTCTTCCTATACTATATCCTTATATGCAATCTTTCTCTTATATATTACCACCTTTGACCTAACTACTATGATTACGGTGTTCATCTTGCTGTGCTAATGAGGTATGGCAGCCTGGACTGATGCACATATGTGCCTGGTCCTACGTTGTAGCTGACTGACTGACTATTAGGAAAAACTTCTAAAAATATCCCCTGAACCATAGCAGCTTTTGACTTTTGCAATCGATTTACGGAGGGCAATGTAATTGCTTACGTGTTGACCATGAGATGAACGGTATTATTACGTTCTCGAATGTGGTCTTAAACTTGATTAGATTTAGCTGTCATATATGTATATACATAGTTAATGTTTAATGTGTGTAAACTCCGCGGATCATTTTCTTCCATTAGAAAACATTTAGGAAAGCCAATCATGAAGCTACTCATCAGTTAGAACACGTTTATGATTGGATTTTTCGTATTTTTGTATGGTTTGCTAATTTGTTAGTGACAATCTAGAATCTGATACTAATCTATACGTCTGTTCAAATCACTACACCCCACATCAAAACCGAGTGAAAAAATCGACGAAACAGAAAACAAAAGAAGTAATACTGACAGCATGCAACAATCGAATCACACTTGACGGAGAAGATTTGGAATATGTAAAAACGCTTACATATCTGGGCAGCATCATTGATGAACACGGTGGATCTGATGCAGATGTGAATGCGTCGATCGGCAAAGCAAGAGCAGCATATTTACAACTGGAGAATATCTGGAACTCAAAACAACTGTCAACCAACACTAAGGTCAGGATTTTCAATACAAGTGTCAAGACAGTTCTACTGTATAGAGTGGAAACTTGGAGAACTACGAAAGCCATCATCCACAAGATACAAGTGTTTATTAACATCTGTTTACGCAAAATACTTCGGATCCGTTGGCCAGACACTATCAGCAACAACCTACTGTGGGAGAGAACAAACAAGATCCCAGTGGAGGAGGAAATCAGAATGAAGCACTGGAAGTGGATAGGACACACATTGAGGAAAGCACCGAACTGCGTCACAAGGCAAGCCCCCACATGGAATCCTCAAGGCCAAAGGAAAAAAGGAAGACCAAAGAACATATCACGTCGAGAAATGGAGACAGACATGAGAATGAACAAAAATTGGATAGAACTGGGGGGAAGGCTCAAGACAGAGTGGGTTGTAGGATGTTGGTCGGCGGCCTATGCTCCATTGTGAGTAACAGGCGTAAGTAAGTAACTGACTGGAAATAGAAATAAGAATATAAACTTGCAGTACAAACGGTAGAAATAAAGTCTGGGAGTGAGGAATGACACGACTCAAATTTAGTACGGAAGTGGAGAAAGAATGTAACTGCACCACTGTGATAAATGTAGCATGTCTCCAACTATAAATTTTGGGTACTGTACAAGCTTCAGTCGGAAAGTTTAGACCTACTTACCTGGTTTAGGTCAGCAACTAACTTCGTAACAAATAGTGTATCTTGACCCACCCTCCTCTTCCAACATTATCCCCAGCCTATCCGTATGTCCATCGTCATTTTGAGTTCGAGTTGAAGGTAACTGATCACACGAAACATAATATGCCTTTTATTTTAAAATCTAGTGACTTATTCCCAACCTCATTATTGGTCATTTAATATTTCAATCAAGCATATTCAATTCGAGTTCGTTACTTTCTATAGCTTTTCATTAACATTACCTTATAATATTCAAAGTATTCAACAGTATACATGTGTTTTAAATGTTTGAATTTATTTTTTAATTGTTTTATTTTATTTCAAGCTTAGATTGCTGGAAATTTAACTGTGAAGTTTTCTGTTAATACTGTCTTATCTATCTTGCTTGCATTAGATTGTTCATCCTATCATGTCCAGTAATAGGAATGTTGATGATGAATGGGAAACAGAGCCAGATTTTGTGGTAGTTTTTTTATTTCTCTTCAAAATGAACGAAAAAATCAAATAATTATGTTCCTGTGTATAGAACGATGTAACAGAGAAAGAACAAAGATGGGGCTCCAAAACTGTTATTGGTTCTGGCCATCAAGCTTCCATAGAGTAAGTAATGTAATTTTAAAAAAAGTTATTAATTGCAATAAACTCATTACAACTCAATAGATAAGTACAGGTTTGTATATTCAGCTCTTAACAATACTTATTGTGTTTGAGAACTAGTTAAAATGAATTATGATGTAAAGAAAATTTGTAGCTTAAGTGAATACTTTTAATTGTGTGCTCCATAATTTAAACGATTTTTAATTATAAACCTTTCAGATGTCACATGTCATTTAATTGTCGGTTAATTATTCGTTTCTTTTGGCAATAAGGGAATAAAAGATATGAGTATTTTTGTTTTCTATTTGTCATTAGTTAATTAATCTTTATACAAGTCAGTATACGGGTCAGTATTGACTCAGTAGTGATGTTCGATTTTCAACCAGTAGGTGTGCAGTTTACAGTCCAACCACACCTACTTTGGTTTGAGCAGTCGGGTAGCATTGATAACTTCCATATATAGTGTGGCTTGTAACCAAGTAAAGGCTTCTGTACCTGGTAAAATCAATCCTACTGGTCAGCGCTGTCATTGGTCCAAGTGGCTTGATATAGGAGTATATCATGTTTGATTGTTGATGATAGGAGGAGTTCAGTGAGACCTACCGCAGAAGATAGGTTGTTCTCTAAGTATTCCAGTAGTGAAAATCTCCGATTATGATGCTGGTTACTGTGAGCTGGAGTTCCTCGAGAAAAACAATTCCCTTAAGTTTGTGGATACACTAAAATAGGGATTCTTGTCAATTACCTACAGCCATCTAACGCGATTAACATTTACATATATAGAATATCGGGCTGGTCTAATAATCTAAGTTAGTGTTACGCTCACAGTTAATCTACTGTGCTTTGTTAATATGATTTGATAATACGGGTAACGTATACTACTGTTTCTGACTTCCTTTAAGCGTAGATAAAAATAAATTCCAATTTTATTTCCAAGTCTTCCTCTAATTCAAAAGTCAAATGTGGATCAGATTCTATAGAAGCACCGAAGAAAGTTGACTAAGGAGTTAAGTATTACATATTTATAATGCCCAATAGAGAGGAGTAAGGCAAAGTTATTATATTATAAGAGAAACTGACAAATAAATGGAGTGACTCTGATCACAGCGAATAAAATGAATGACTCAGCGTAGACAATTATGGGGTGTACAACTCGAATAGAGAAATAGACAAGGTTAATACTGTTATGGCTTTTGACTCCTGTCAATTATCACATGATGAAATCACCAATTAGAACACCGACTTATATGACCTTGTTTTTGTGCTAAACCAATGGCACGTCAACCAGCACTAGCAGCCTTGAGTCAACTCGGAATCCTTATTGGTCCTCAATAAAGAAAATCCTCGCCTAACCCCGCTCGCCGAGTCCGGAACACAAATATCATCCTTCGCTACATGAATCGTACTCCTCAGACATACGCGGTTTATGTATAAACAGACCAGACCACATCACACCATAAAATAATAGTCATACGAGATCAAGCCGAAAGTGACAATGAGTGTAAGAGACTATAACTAATACATTGGGAATAACTTAGGAACAGTAGATCGTGTAGTGGTAGTCAATAGGTCAAATGAAAGCTTATGATAAAAGATATATATATATATATATATATATATATATATATATATATACTTACTAAGACTTTCGAAATTCAATCGCAAATGTTATAACAACAAAATCTATCTCAAACTCATGTTACTATTACTCCTCTCTCTTTCCTTCAATCAAAAGTATGATGGCGTTAAAAGAAGAAGTGAAACAAGCAGATCGTTTGGCAAAATTAAAAATTGCACCAAAACCAGCTTATGGATATGGTGGCCAATTCGGAATTGAAAAAGATCGAATGGATAAGGTTTTTAGTTTTGGTTAATTTTCTTTTTTTGCTTTTTTATGCGAAGGTTTATCACTTTCTGTATTAAGAAAATGATCTATTTATTTTTGTATTGGTTGTTTGAATCTTTCCAAAGATGCTTAGAAATGAAATTGATCAGTCTCTCTTATTGGCATATGTGCATTCTGTGCGGATTGTCTCGACATTGCCTTACGTCACGAGCATGATAAACCGAGATGGATGGTGGCTAGTAGTGGAATCCAGGACGCTCGTTTCATCCTATTTTGGACTTGCGCGTCCTGTATTCTACTGCTAACCCTCACCCATCTCTGCTCAGAATGATTTATTATCTTCATTTTTAACATGACACTGTACCAGTTGAATTTTTTTAGTGTGAAATAATGAGTTGTGTCACTCAGTAAGGGGGAAATACAGCGGTGGGGAGTTGTGCTTATGAAAAGGATCAGATTACAATTAAACAGTGTTACTTGTTTTGTAACTTATTTACATATGACATGAAACCATTTATGAATGTATATTAATAATGCAACAGAGTAACTTGGGAAAATATACACTTCAATGGTTTGCAAACCTTTACTGATCGTGGCAGTTGCAACATATGTTATTTATGTAAGTTGGTGGTTGGTAGTAATAAACAGAAAACCCTGGATTTAGGTTTCATGCTAGTCGACATTCGTCAGCGAGATTTACCTGCAGTCTTGAGAGAATCTACTTTTCTTGGTGGTTTCGATTCAGTATCACTCAGCTTTACAATCAAAGAGGTTACTGCTGAGCTATCCGGGCTGCAACTGACCTCCTGTAGTACTGAGATATATTTACAATCGATTGATTACTGGGTAGTGACCAGTGTCACGTATGTCAAATCCTTCTTAATGCAGATTTATTTCTTTCGAGCAGGACGTCAATCGCGGCCTAGATACCTCAGTGGTAACCTCTTTGACTGCGAAGCTGGTTGACACGCAATCGAATCCGCCAGGGATCATCGTTTCCCTCAAGATTACAGGTAAACTTTGCTGACGAATGCCAATTAGCATGAAACCTAGATGTAGGGTAAGATATCCTAGCGAGGATTACATTACGAGTAACTCCTGAGACCTATTAGTGAACTAATATTATCTCTATATTCTTAGGGTATAACTAATCAGTATTTAGATTATGTATATCTATATTCGCCTTGTTATAAGCTTCAGTTTGACCTATAGATTATTATTGTACGATTTACTGTTCTTAAGTTATACTCAGTTTATTAATTACTGTCTCCCACGTTCACAGCCACATTTTGGCTTTATTGTGTATGAATGTTATTTCTGATTTTATGGTGCATTTCGGTCTGTTTGATTGATATATAAACCCAGTATATCTGAAATAAATGATTCGATTCGCATAGTGGAGGCTGTTGTTGGCATTCTGAACTCAGCTGGACGGGCCAGGCGAGCAACGGACCAATATGACTGTAGGCTGATTAGACCGGTCGGACTTCATTGGTTTAGTACAGTATGAGAGCGAATAAGTCGTATTTTGATTGGTGAATAGATTACGTGATAACTAGCGGACCATAAAGTCACAACATAGGGTTCGTTGTCGAATACTTCCAATGACTACCTGACATTTCAACATAGTTCACGCAATATTGAGTCACTTAGACTAGTGGGCACATTGCAACTTGGTCGATAGAATTTGACCTGCACTAAGGAAGACATGGCACACATGATATCGGTCACTAGTCAGTAATCAATCAATTGTAAATGTGTTATATATGCCTAGCAATTACCTACCTCGACGGGCGATGTTAACTGGTATAGGAAGAGAAGAAAGGGTAGTTAGATCAAAATGTGGAGTCATTTCACGAAATCCTTAACTGTTGGTTTGAATCATATTTTTAGATAGAGACTAACTGTTTGTAGTTCAAGTAATAGCTCATATTTGTCAGTTGGAGATATTTATTAATATGTAACTCAGGATCCGGTCACCTTCACACAACAGATACATTGACTCTTTGTCTTCCCCCTTATATTTTAATTTTTAAAAGTAGCTTACACTTTTCATTTCACGAATTCATTCTTTTTATATTGTATTATCTATACCTGATCATTTATAATTACCACAGATACTGTTACGTTAACTTCTACCACTCTAGTATTTGTTTGGGTAAATTCATCGCGCTGTGTTAATATGTTATGTCAACTTGAACTGATACACATGTATATGCCAGGTTCTACATTTTTTAATGATTGACTGGCTGGTTGAATATATACTAATCATTTCTGTGTAAACCGTTTTTGTTATTGTGTGTTTTAGTCAGCAGTAGATTGGAATCATATTGAAGTGACTGAAAAGCATACATCACAAAAAGATTATGCAAAGGGATTTGGTGGTAAATATGGTGTTGAACGAGATCGTCAAGATAAAGTAAGTTTTTAAATATGATTATTTGTAAAATAAGTTGGAGTTATTCCGTTGTTGATATATTAAGTCTTTGTTAGCATGTGTATGCAGTCCGGAGTAGATGGATTATAACTTGTAGTCGAATTGAAAACACGTGTTTCACTATATTTGGGACTCGTCAGCTAGATGTAACTGTATTCTAGTCTTGGTGTTTACATTTGGACTCGCTAGACAAGTTAATGGAGTTCCAATGTAAACATCAATACTAAGATGCAGGTACATCTAGCTGACAAGCTCTAAACAGGACGAAATGGGTGTCATGGATTTCATTGAAAAACATAATCCATTTATTCTATTTTTCAAAAATGAAGAATATTTGTGCGAATAACTGTTTTGAATAACTTCATCATCATGCTCTACAATTATAAGTCCATAATTTTCGTGATATTTTACCAAGACCAAAATAAGGGATACATTAATGAATTTAACAATGTTATATGTTAAAAATGCTGAACGTTTTCACCTGTTACGATATAAATACTTCAAAATTGTGTTATTTGTAAATTAGAAAGGTCATTTAATAAATATCAGAATGGGACTCTTCAGCAGTGCGCATCCACAGTCCCTTACGGCTGAGGAGTCCCGTACTAGGACGAAACGGCCGTCCATTGCTCCCAGGTTTTCAGTGGTGGTTTGACACTGATCACTTCATAATCTCAATTAAAAAACTCTACAATCTCCACAATACTATGCTGATAAATGTCAGAATGATTTGTAGTAGTGTCAAGTTATTAGCAATACCATAGTAATATAATAAAAAATCGTATGAATAAAATGCATAATAGGAGAATTTCGTCTTGTTGATCGAGGTAATAATAATATCGTTGTGTGAATATAATAGGTAATAAGAGGGGTGTTATCAAGGTAAATACGATAAAAAAGAATTCATGCTAATTGGGAAAGATGAATGTGAAGATTAAGAAAGATGTAACCTAGAAAAAAATTAGGAGGGGGGGATAAAAGGTTTATAATATTCAGTTTAGGTGTCTGGTGATCCAGTCGTAAGCCGAGTTATACATATAGGCTGGATAGACCTCTTCTGGATGCATAAGTTGGTCTTTCTGGAGTTGATCCAGATGGCTTCAGCTATATAGAGTAACTGTAATCCAGCTCTTTTAGGTAGATTCTTTGGGACTTGATATAAAACAAAGAAAGCTTCATCTATTTTAATATGATGTTCACTATCTACCAAGTGAGATAGAATGATACTGTTAACCGATTTAGTGACTTTTTGTCAACCATGCTGTTGCATGTTGACGAAAACACAAGGATAAAGCCCTCTGAGTAAGGCCTATCTAACTAGGTCCACAGGAGCAGTTGAATTGGTATATGCAGATGGTGGAGCCCATCATCGGTAACCTATCGTTGATTTGTTGTGTAAGTACTGGTTTAGTTAAAAAAAATTATATGTAACGTGGCTGCGTGAAACGTCCTTTTGAGCTGACGCGTTAAAATGTCTCCTTTAAAATCCAGTTTCAGACAGGGTTTTTTTACTGACCGAGTCACAGTTTCTTTTTTAATACCTTCTAATAGGAATTTTCTGACGAAATTATCTGGATAACCGTTATTTCTTAGTGTGTTCGTTAGTATATCTATTTTGCTGTCTACACTATCTTCAGAACCCAATAGCCTGAGTTTGTGGCTGAGGCATTTAACCAAATTTATTTTGTATTGAAGAGTTGTAAAGTTATGGAAACGGGTATACTGACCCGTCCATGTATTCTTTTTAAACATATTTCTTCTTGTGGAACCATCTATTCTCCTCTTCGCTGATGAATTTAATAGCTGGGTAGACATTATTGAAACAGATCAACAGCTCTTGTTTGTCGATATTTTCGTCATATACAACTAGCGTGTCATCAATTTATCGACATTAATAATCTATCTTATTTAAGATGTCTTTCAACGGTCCATTTTCCAGTTTGGTCAGAAAAGTATCAGCCGCACATAGGACAGCGGACTTCATCGAAGTGTTGTAATGGGTCGTAAGCACAAAACAAATGAAACATTGCTTCGCATGGACAAAAAATTCAGGCACTTCCATCAACAGTTTCGCTTGGCAGCTGTGCAAGATTGCAAATATCACACAGTCTGTTGTTGTAGGCATGTTCGTCATTGTCTCATTCAGTGAACGCTCTAAGTTAACAGAAACAGTTTCTTCCTAGTCATTACTTAACGTAGCATCCATTCATATTTGGTAACTGTCCTCTGTTGGGTCGACGGCATTTTAACATCCATAGAAGTGGAAGCTTCGATCTGAAACGGCGTTGGAGGCATCTTACGATAAACCACTTGATACTCATTGTTATACACTACACTACATTGTTCTTCGGACATACGCCTGACTAAGGAATGCAGAGCATTTTCAAATATACCAACTAAGCGTTCTACTTGGCCATTATATTGGGTATGGAATAGAGATGTTAGGACATGATTGATTCCGTTCTGCCAACAAAATTCGGAGAAGACATCAGACGCAAACTGTGTTCCATTGTTGCTAACTATTAATTCTGGAACTCCGAAACGACTAAATAGTTGACATGGTTTTCTGACTGTGTAGCTTGAATTTAAGTGTTCCATGAGAATAATTTCTATCCACTTGCTATATGCATCAATTAACAAAAGATCAGTTTGTTTATGAAGTGGACCAGCGGTGACTGTGGTATTGGCCATGATTGCAGCTCTGCTTCCCGCGGTGCTTATGTTACTAATGCGCATTCGGTACACGAACGGGATAGATGCTCCAGTTGGGTATCTAAATGCGGCCAGTATACATAAGATTGTGCTAGTGTTTTCATGAGTTTTATTCCAGAATGTCCTGTATGCAATTGTTCAAGCACTTCCGGTTGCAGCCCTTCTCTGACTCAGTGTGATGACACTGGAGCGTTTTGAATGGCGTCCTTTACTACACTCTATATTCCTGGATCTACTGTTAAGGAGGCTATGGTCATGTCCTTCGGTCCACGGTGCCGAATTCCAATCAACCTAGAGAGAGAGAGCGTCGGCTTGATCGATGGTATTTGTTAACTGATAGTTGATATTGAAATCATAGCTCGGAAGCACTGTCACCCAGCGCTGTTATTTGTTGGCCATATAGAACCTTATTAGAACCAAAGATTGTAATTAAAGATTTGTGGTCTGTCAGTAAAGTAAACGTGTGGTCGTAAAGGATTTTATGGAATTTTTTAACAGCGAAAATGATTGCAAGGGTTTCCTTTTCAACCTGGCCGTAGTTCCTCTCGGCCGGGGTGAGTGAATTAGCAGCTTGAGCAATTGTCTTTTCCGATTTATCCTATAACGCGTGAGATATCACTGCTCCAGCTCCATGACTAAAGACATCAGATCCAACAAAAATTCACAAACTGGGATCAAAGTGTGTTCAATGAAGCTTTGAGCTAAGTATTGATTTGACTTCGTCGAAAGATGCTCGATGTTTTCAGGGTCTGTTCAGTAACCCTTCTTATCTAAGACGAAGCCAAGGTATTTGATTGGATACATGAAGGACAGAAACTTTTCTTCACGTAGTCAGGAACCATACTCCATCAATCTGTTAGGAACTTGATGTACACATATTTGTTTGTTTTATCATGTTGAGCGATTACCCAATCACATCTGTCTTGGTTTGTAATAACGTATTTATATCTCCATTTACTTTATTCTACCTTAATTAACTAATAAATCGCAAGTCATCTGTTGGTTGGGATCATAAAGAAACCGTAGAAAAGCATTCGTCACAAAAAGATTATTCAGTTGGATTCGGCGGAAAATTTGGTGTACAAACTGACCGACAAGACAAGGTAAATAAAAATAAGATGTAGATAATTTATTTATTGTGTGTGTTTCCTTCCCCCTCAGTTGTTTAATATTTTTGATTTGTGTTTAAAGTTTATGGAAGCATATGGTAATAGACTGGCCTGAGTCAACACCTGAACTAAGGATAGGGAGTGAAGTAGTCGAACGCGTCGAAAACTTAACTAATTTTGGAAGGCTGATCAATCCTACTGGGTTGGAAATCTCTGCACGGATTCAGAAAGCTCGTTTGGCTTTCGCCAACTTACGTCACCTATGGCTTAGGCGAGATATCCGTCTATCAATTAAGGGACAAACATACTGCTCAGCAGTTCGTTCTGTTCTACTTTACGGCTGCGAACCATGGTCATTAAGGGTAGAGGATACTCGTAAGTTACTAGTATTTGATGACAGATATCTTAGAAATATTGTTCGCATCTCCTAGGATCACCGGGTAAGTAGTAATGGTGAGGTTAAATGCAAGTTATTATGGAATGATGGTAAATCAGTTGACGAGGTTGTGAATCTTCATCGACTGAGATGGTTGGGTTACGTATTACACATACCCAACCACTGATTGCCACGACGCGCAATGCTCACTATTGTTGGAGATCGATGGAAGAAAACGTGGCATCGGTTCCATAAAGTCACTAACGTTTGGTCTGAGTCATGATGGTAGATGGGGACTACTTGGTTGGTGTCCGTGCGACTATCGTAACCAATGGTTGGAGACTCTGAGTGACATGCTTCAGAATCGATCACATTGGCTTAGGTGTATACACTCTTTGTTTTCCCTTAAACCTTGAGATTAATGTTACTTTATACCTTTCTTTCTACGAACTAATTCTTTCTCCCTGTATTATATCCTTATATGCAATCTTTATATATACATTACTACCATTGAAGGAACTGCTTCTATGAATTCGGTGTTCATCTTGTTGTTTTAATGGTGTATGACAACTTGGACTGATGCATATATGTGCCTGGTCCTACGTTGTAGATGACTGACTGACTGACTGATGGTGATAGACATAAAAACTGTAGTAAGGATGTGAATCACTTAATATTGAAAACAGTTGGTTGAATTAATGTAACATTTTTGTTTTGGTAAGGGTTTATAATTTCACGTTGTTGAGATCATTCCCTGTTGTCAGATGTGTGGATCTTGAGCGAATTACTTCGATTATAGCCTTTATTTACAAGTTATAGTATTTTTTTTATATTTGGCTAGCAGTATAACCTAGGACAGCTGTTTCATCGTATTTGAGACCTATCATATATATATATTTCCAGTGTTACTGTTCACATAACGATATTATCCAGTTTCATAGTCTAAAATGTTAGTTACCATAGTTATTGTTCAGTGCTCCCTTCATCGATGTTCTTCGAATTAACAATAATTCTCTTTTTTATAGTACTGTTGTAAAGCTTTTGTCTGTCTGCCTGCCTGTTTACTTTTTAATGTAGTCAGCCTTGGGTTGGGATCATCATGAACAATCCAGTCATCATCCATCACAAGTGGACTATTCCAAAGGATTTGGTGGTAAATTCGGTCTACAGACAGATCGAGTTGATTCATCATCAGTTGGTTGGAATGATGTTAATCAAACAGAATCGCATCCATCACAAATGAAAGGTACATGTGTGTCTGTGATATAAGTTAGATTTGTTTACTTCTTGTGTTGATCCTCATATCTTTATTGACAGAATATGCAATGGTGTGTCCACATTTTCATGTTAGATGTCTTCAAAGCATTGCTGGGGTGTTGAATAGAACAACCTGATGGGTAATGCTAAAGTTTAGATGGATGATACTAGACAAAGATGATAATTCACTTAATAAAACCATAAGTCTTCATTTACCGAAGTGGTCGGGATATATGTTACATATACCGAACAACTGCCTACCTCGACGCATGATGTTAGCTCTTGTAAGAGTAAGCTGGAAGAAAGATGCGTAAGGGTGGCCGAACCAAGACTTGAAATCAATTCATGTAATCATTAATCGTTGGTGTAAGCCTTGTTTATAAATAGAAATCAATGGGTTGTGGTCTATGTGTTTATCGTGATCTTGAGTTATATTCCAGCTTAAAATCAACTACAGTAGTTCAAAAACAAATTCATCTTTCATTTTCATTCTAGATGTTCAATCCCAGTTTTCCTTTATCTATATCTTTTCATTCTTCCTCTTCGAACTATATTCTTTATGCCTAGTTAATTTTACTCACTGCCATTTTTATCTTGATCTCTTTTACCAATCCTCTCGTTCGTCCCATCTTGTATATCTGTACAACTATATAGTACAGTATAAGAACTTGAGTTGACCCATTTGTGTAACAGATTTTTATGTTTATTCTATTTGACTAACTGATTAAATGTGTAGTCACAGTACAGGGGATGTGTAAAAGATATAACAACTTGAATTTCGTGTAATTCATCTCTGTTAATCATTTATAATGTTAAGTAAATTTGATAGTTGAGACGTTAATGAGTGACTTCTAGTCTAAATATCATGCAGTATTGCATACAACTTGACCAACATTTCAATAAGCGTTCGCGCCCTAAACCGAAGTTCCTGGATCTGAATTTTGCGTGAAGGATCGATCATGGATGTGCACTAATGAGGAGTCCCATTCTAGTACAAAACGGCTGTCCAGTGCCTCCCAGTTTTGAATGGTGGTCTAGCTTAGATCAACTCACGAAGTTTCTTTTTAACTCTAACTATTTATCTTATTTCATCCTTCCCTCCTTACCCACAACATTAATAATCAACTTCATTTTAGCGCCTATTTTCAAACCAGACGGTAGTTTAAGTAATATACGTGCACGATTTGAACAGGGAATTAATCCGAATAATGTAAAGGATTCATCTGGTTTAACTGTCGCTCAACAACGCGTTCTTGAAGAACAAACTCGATGGAATGCTGAACGTAAACAACAACAGCAACAACGCGAACAACAGGAAGATGAAGAACAATCCAAAGGAAAGTCAGGATCATCTGATACAGTTAAATCGGTAAATAGGGATGTTTATTTCAGTTTTTACTATTGATTTCATTAAGTTGAGTCCCTTCTTATTTTTTTAAAGATAAGTACTGACTTTTTGGGTACAATCTATTATATATGTATGTATACATATATTAACTCAGGTGCAGGACATCACTCTTACTTGAAATATTTACGATTAAAGTGTTAAACAGATCACAGTTGATTGCCTATGTTTTGTTAATAAACTGATAATTATCATGTGCTCATTAGTGACTAGCTTCAAGAGGTAATTCTCGGAGTTCTAGTGAGAAACCGTGACCAATGGAGTTCAATCCGTGTCGGGTATAAAACAATTATCCACTGAAGACAACAGAGGATAGTCGTACAATATTGTAGATTGGTTGAAGTTAAACATTAACACTATTGGATGTCACTCTCAGTGGTTTTGAGAGGTTAAGCATTCGCGCACAAGACCGTAGGTCCCGAGTTTGATTCCTGCGTGTTAAATCATCGATACGCACTTCTGAGGAGTCTCATATTAGTACGAAATAGCTATCCAGTGATTCCAGGTTTTCCATCGTGATCTAGCTTTAATCAACACATTTTATCCATAAGTTTATATTAAACATGATTTTCAGTATTGTACTATTTTCAAAACAAAATCTGTGTAATATTTATGTCTTTTTTTTCTTTCACTTTCATTTTTGTTTGTTTGTTTCTCCAGGTATCAAATAATTCTGTTTTTACTGATACTATTAAACCAACTAACAATAATACCATGCATGATCATAATTGGAATAAACAAGTTGACTCTGAAAATAACATGAAATCATTACATTCACAGGAATTTAAAACTTTTGTTGAATCTAATCAATTTAATAATGATAAATATAATCAGTTAGAAGATAAAAATGAACCAAGAACTTCCAGTGAAAGTCATGTAAGTGTTTGTTTTTACTTTCTTCTTAAAGTTTATTTCAATGGTTGAGATCATGAGTTAATTGAAACTAGACCACTATGAAAAACCTGGTAGCACTGGATGGCCATTTCGTCCTATTGTGGGACTCCTCCGTGGCAGTGTGCATCCACGATCCCGTCCGGCGTGATTCGAACCCAGGACCTATCGGTCTCGCGTGCTAGCGCTTAACCATTAGATCACTGAGCCGGCCGGAACCCAACGGTGTTAATGTCTAACTTCAATTGACTCATGATCTCAACCATTGAAATTACTATAATATCCACAAAAAGTCCTTCTGATATTAAAGTTTATTCTCATATGATAACTAATTTTCTGTTAGTCATGCTGAAGGATTGATATTTATAGCAAATAATTTAACTTATCAATAGAATACAAGTTAATATATAAATATGTTAGATAGGTTGGAAGTAGTCGAGAGGAAACTATCGACTTAAGTTTCATGTTAGCTATTATTCATCAATAACGTGAATGTACAGTCTTGTGAGCCAGCTGCTAATTCTTTATGGGACTTGAAGCCGAGTTGATCAGATCCCATGTTCTTAGATGTCACTGTTGAACTGTTCTAATCGTTATTGACCTCTTATAAGACTGAGATATTTGTATTATTTGATCACTGAGTATTAATCAATATCATGTTTTTTCTAGTCTTTTATTACTTACTTGCATACTTACGCCTGTTACTCACAATGGAGCATAGACCACCGACCATCATTCTTCAACCCATTCTGTCCTGGGCCTTCCTTTCTAGTTCTATCCAATGTTTGTTCATTCTCATGTCTGTCTCCATTTCTCGACGTGATGTGTTCTTTGGTCTTCCTCTTTTCCTTTGGCCTTGAGGATTCCATGTGAGGGCTTGCCTTGTGGTGCAGTTGGATGCTTTCCTCAATGTGTGTCCTATCCACTTCCAGTGCTTCATCCTGATTTCTTCCTCCACTGGGATCTGGTTCGTTCTCTGCCAAAGTAGGTTGTTGCTGATAGTATCTGGTCAACGGATCCGAAGTATTTTGCGTAGACAGCTGTTAATATACACTTGTATCTTGTGGATGATGGCTTTCGTAGTTCTCCAGGTTTCCGTGCCATACAGTAGAACTGTCTTTTATAGTACTTATCAAATAATTTACAATGCAGTCACTAGTCTAACTTATTTGATATCATGTGCGCTAAAGGATTAGATAAAGAAAAGACATTAGCCACTGCTTAATGATCAATTCCTGTTCATATACATGTATAATGAATCCTACGTAGGAGAAAGTCAGTACCAACCTTAAATAAATTGATAGTAAATGTCCTTGACTGTGATCACGAGGTGTGTGGTACAGGTTAAATATTGTATGTATGTATGTGTGTGAAGGAATATCTATTGAGTTAATAGCTCGGATATACCTTGTTGGCCAATGCCAACTAGTATGTAACTTGAGTCTAGGACATGGTGTCAACTGTCTTTAATCATCGAACACATGTTAACAGTGTATACACTAGACTGTTCAACCATACTTTCACGTAGAATAGCAGCTCAAAAGTCATATCATACAGTATTAGGTAAATAATCAATATCACTCTTAGAGTTAAGTAATACTTCTAGTAGTATTAGTAGCAAATGAGAACAAATGCAACATTTACAAAATAAATTGAGCCAATTACGAGAAATATTACATTTAACAAAGTGGGTGCCCCTTTCACTTACACATAAATGAACATAGATTAGCAGTTAGGCAACATAATTTACTACCAATGATGTCAATGGATGGAAAAAGCCATGGGGATGAATTCGATTGGTGAAAAGTCAACATATTAGGTAGAAGAAACTTCAAGAATGCCAGAGAATCTCTAGAAGCATGGGATTCAAATCAATTATCAATAAACAGACACATCGAAATCGATCTAATCTGTAAAATCATATGGAAGAAATCAGTGAGTCACTAGACCAGAGGTCAACCAATAAAATCAGTCAAGGTGAGTACATTGACAAATAAAAACAAGACTTACGAAGATAGCTAATTACGGACATGGTCGTTGGAATGAAGCGATACAACACTTGTGGACTGACTGGAAAGCTCACTTCTACATAAGGTAGATGCTGAAAATATTGCTCAGAAAACTCAACACTACCAATTTTGGAAACCTTTATTTATCAGTTATGAAGTGACTTTTGACTGGCGTAACGTTCAAATTTGTCATTCGCTCTTTACCACAATTAATCAAGGTCGGCTCTACATGCAAGAATATTACATCAAACAAAACACCTACATATATAAACATGAGAAAATTCTGCCATCGTATTCATACACTCCATGCATCCATACGCCTTCAAGGTCACTGTCCGTATGTAGTGCTCAAGTTGATCAAAGCTGAGAGCTATTCATCAGTATTAATCAATACATGCCCCCAAATACCCTGGTAAGGCCAAGGGTGAGGAGAGTCAGCTCTCCCTCTCGAAATGCTCTCACATGGCCACGCGTATGCCGCCATTACCAAGAAAGTCCTACTCACTACCTTCTCGCGGCACCGGTGTTGTTTACAGAATTGAGAGGAGTAAGAGCGAATGTCCGGCACTTTAATCGGTTTGGTGGGTACGGATGATACACCTAGGGAAGTTAGAAATCTCTGATTCCAAACCAGTGGTGTACATGGACTCCAGGATCCTGAAGGAATAAATGGATTATGAACCTATTGTTGGTCACCTGCTACCACGAGACTCCATCTCCTTGCGTTGCTCCACTACCGTGTGGATTAGACCTCTAGGTCAAAGGCTCGGGGAGTGGGGCTGCCTAAGATACCTATTTGATTCGGTCTGGGCACTCGAGGAGTATTCCAGCCTTAACACAAATCGAATGATTTGTGTGGCGCATATGTATTTGGTGCCTCCTTCTACCAATATCTATGTGTTCAAATAAAATTAAAATGAAAAGTGGCGCATATGTCTTTGATGCCTCGTTGTACCAATGTTTGTGTTTAAATGAATAATTCAATACATATTAAATTTTGATTGGAATTGCGCCAATTAATCAGTCTCTTGTCCACCTGTCATTAATACTGACACTGATTTCGAAGTATTTTTCTTAATTTAAGGTGATGTTTATTTGTTCGTTTGTTTCACATAGGTACATGATAACCCTGTCGCCAGTGATGATCAAGTTCCTGAAATGTTTACGGTAACCGCTCTTTATGATTATGAAGCCGGTAAGCAATTCTGATCCATTTGTCTGAATATATATATAGTCATTATAAGTCGTGTTAAACGTCAGTTGTTGACAGTATAGACTCTTGTCCTCATTTATTTACATTTACTTGTTACTCATCTATACAGATTATTGATAGATTTAAAAAGAAACTATTGTTTACTTATCGATTATAAATCATGGATCTTTCACTAGCTTGAAGTTTGTACGATTACTTATACATAAGCTAATATGATCCATCTATCATCCCTTTCCAGGACCCAAATTATTAGATAGCTACATTGTCTATCTTAACCAGTGACAATTTTTGTTTCATTCTAAGGGGGAGGGAAGTGTTTTACTCATAAATATTATACTTGTTGATCACTGCTTAGCTGTTGAAGTTCCCGTAGATCTCCAAATCATAAATCAGTTAATTAATGAATCGTAGCTAATTTCAATATTATTCATTAGTAAAAATGAAAAAAATTCATTTATTTAGCATGATAATGCTTCTTTTTTGCTTCAACTTTTTCCGAGCAAATATCTTATTGACCAACCTAAGATATCTATACATAAGTTGGAGGGCTCTCTCTGTGTGTACTAAGCATGGTTTAATCGTACAGCTTTCACTGATTGCCTTTCTAGACAACAATATCATCAATAGTGTACAAGATCCAGATAAAGAGAATTAACCTATGAAATCTTCTTGATAAGTAATAGACTAATACCTTGCTTTTGTTAAAAATTGAGATCCGAGACCCATTAGTTTACAGGTATAATTCCAATCACTTTGCGACCCCGCTTGACAATCTCCCATTGCCTTCAGTAGTTAATTGCTTTACACACTCTGACGTGATTGAATTCTACTTGTCACAACTTCTTTCCGGAACTTTTAAAATTTCGTCCTTTGGGTACTGGTGAGCACATAGTTATTGCTCCTGTAGGGAGGCCTAGAGGTTAGGTGCTTGCTGCGAGACTTGGATTCAATCCCTGGTGCATTTTCAATGGATTGTCTAGTTTAAATCAGTCCATAATGTAAAACTACAAAACTCAACCTATACAAACCCCCTCTTTATTAATGACAATCAATGGTTGGTAATTTAGGTGATAAAATCGAAAGTACCAGTCAACACTCAGCGGAAAAAACACTTAAAGTTGACTAATCCGATTTGGTCGGATGGATAGAAGTTACCTCAAATGATAAGGAAATATTGCTTAGTTTAAATTATGGACTGATCTTAGCTAGACGACTATTGGAAACCTGACAGCACTGAAAGACCATTTCTTTATAGTAAAATACTCCCCAATAATACGTATCAAGTCAAGGATCTTTAGTCATGCTCGAGGACACTTCACGTATAGATCATAAGAATGTATTTGTCTGACAATCATAGGAAAGGGAGTTATTCGAAAAATGTTGGTTACTCATAAGTAGTATGGTTGAAGTTACACGACTTTCACACTTCAATTTTGATAGTTAAAATTCGAAATTTATCTAACGAGAAGTATACTACTTCCCAACCTCGTTCAATCATTTCTCATTGATACTTATCTAACAATTTACTTATAATTGTCTATCTATTTTCTTTTCAAATTTCTTTCTTTCTTTCTTTCTTTCTTTGTACATGAAGCTGAAAATGACGAATTGACATTTAAAGCTGGTGAAATAATTACAGAGGTTGAGAAAATCGATGCAGGCTGGTGGAAAGGTGTTTGTCGTAATAAAGTTGGTCTATTTCCTGCTAACTATGTCAAATTAGAATGATTAACGATAAAGTTAAGGAATGACTAATGAAATTCGTTAATAATTGAATCTTAATTGTCCACGATTTCTGTTGCTGTTGTTGTCGTTGTTGTTCGAATCCAGATAAACAAACCATCAGAAAACACTCAATACATTGAATTCATTTTCAGCATTACATTTTTTATATTCTGTGCTCAATTTTCAGGAATCTGTGAAGTGAATTTTATATTCTACAAAACATTCAACATAAGTTGATATCAGCTTTGTGTATGTTAGATGTGCTTGAATTGTTCTCTCTCTTTCAATTGTCATAGATACAATTCTTATTTGATTTAATGGAAGTTTTCTTCTTTTTCTTTTAAAGATTTTTTTCAGTTTTTTATGATTTGTTTTTGCTATCCATAACTTGTAATCATGAACTTTCTATAGTGATTTTTATGCATGGATGATTTAATTTTTCATGTTTTGTTTCTTTGAATAAGTGTGTAACTTTTGCCTTGTGTTCTTTTTTTTCCAGAAATATATTTTGCCTACTGATAATATAAATAAGTAGTTTTCATTGTTGAGTTAGTTTTTTTTCTATCAAGAACTTTTAGCGATAGCATATCACATTCAGCGATTCTCGAAGTAATTTTGTCAAAGTAAAACTAATTTTTAGCTAATCCGAATACAGGCTTGTGTCAAGGAATAATTTATTACATGAAATCCCGAAAAAAACAATTAAGATTTAGGGTCAGGACGCGGGGTTAACAGTAGGGAATGAAATTTAGAATTAGGGTTAGGATTAGTAAAAATATACTATAGTGATTTCTTTAGATGATTTCAATTGTCACTTTTAGAATAACCAGTCAGGAATATCTATTCAGAATGCAAATTTCATGTAGATCCTAAAATATTTTAAGAAATGGTGAACTGTCATAGTATTAGTAGATTTATTATCAATAATGAACTGATTAGTGCTAATTAATCGATAATTAAGGCTACAAATCGTAGTAATGTAAGCCTGATAGACATTGGCTTTTAACGCTAGAGGACCTTATATATTAAGTCTGACTTCCTACACTCAAACTCCTAGATTCTAACTCCCAACACCAATACTCATGATCTTAATCCTAAAATACCAATCTTAACAGTTCATTCCGTAAAGGAACCGTTATCCAATCCTTTAGAACTGCAGAGACCTATCTGTAACAACGTTTTAGATTCGTACGTTGGTTAACTTCATTTTGATTGGTCTCTCAATGCCATCAGTGCAGTATAGTCTCATACTCAGAAGAAACAACTATCTAGTACTTCATGGTTTTCCATGGTGATGTAAACTACAAAATTTAACACAAACATCGTCCAGTAAAAATTTCAAAAATCCGGCTGGTAAACTCCTCTCTAAATCCACTTTTCCTCATATCGAAACAATATCGTCGGTAGATTTTTTGTTGGGACGGCTTCCTAGAACTACGATGTAGCCTTCAAAGGCCCTAAAGCAACCGAACAGTTCCCATCTAGTCAGAACGTGATGGAGTTTCCTAGAATACCAATTTGGTATGTTTCTACTGGACAGTAGCACAGCATTACCTCTTTGCGAATTGGCTAAATTATAATGTTTATATGACATGTTAATATTTATAAATACCCATGATTTTTTGTACATTTTGATTCCTGCCCAACAAACTATTCTTCAGCTTTCTATTTTACAACTGTAGGGTTCTATACGTTCGACATGCATTAGTTGCATACCGTATTCTGTGTTAATCAAATAACGAATTTAAACAGTTTTCTTGGTATAGAAAACAAAACAAAATGGAATTTATAAACAAGTAAGCAATTTGTTTATAATTTTCTTTTCATCATTAATTACCAAATACTGATTAGATAGAATTTTACAATGGACTCATGTTTTTGGTGAATGAACAGAACAAAAACAAAATTCATATTCCTTGATCATGTAATCAAATCACATTGTTCACATATAGATTTATTTGGATAATTTTGTATACATATTGTTTCTAGGCAACTTTATTTTCATGTATATACAAATTGAACATAAAAAGGGGACAATTAAGAAGATATATTTTGGATTAGTTATATTATACATTTCCTAGTGAATGAAACTATGTAAATCTGTTGATCTGGTAGGGTTAAAGATTATATATAACACTTTAAGTTGTTACTTTCTGATACTACTACTAGTACTACTACTAATAATAGTAAGTAGTATATAAGCAACATTGAAATTTAACTGTATTTCTATGTGCATCATTCAATAAGATGTATTAAACATGGTGGAGATATCATATCTGTATTATTATGTTTATGTTTATGAAAACATTCTAACCAATTTGTTGTATGCCATGGCCATGTTGATAGAATCCAATTGGTTGGATCAATACAATTTACCGGTTGTTTTATTGATTTCTGATGATGATTAGACCATTGATCAATAAAATTTTTTATCATTTTTACAATTTGATTATTCCACAAATCAATAAACCATAATTCAGAATTACTGAGATCATCATGAAATGGTAAAGATAAAAATATTAATGGATTAATCAAATGAAATTGATCCGTATCTTCTAATGTGGTTTCATGATAATGATTATGCAATTCTATTAAGAATTGATTTAAATAATTGAGAACCTGTGAGAAAAATAAAAAAAACAACTTTTTTCATCAGTATAGAGGTTGTGGAGATTATTAATTTCTTTGATTGAGGTCATGAACCAATTGATGTTAGACTATCGTTGGAAACCTAGAAGCACTGGACGGCCGTTTCGTCCTACTGTGCGACTCCTCAGTAGTTCGCATCCACGGAGCTAATCCGTGTCGGATAGAAACAGGTGTCTTCCTCAGTACAATGGAAGTTGGTCGCTCAATTCCGTGGATGGTTGATGTTAGACACTATCATCATTGGACGCCCGCTCAGTGGTCCAGTAGGTTAAGCGTTCGTGCGCGAGACCGAAGGTCCTGGGTTCGAGTCCCTTGAGCGGGATTGTGGATGCGCACAGCTGAGCAGTCCCACAATAGGGCGAGACGGGCGTCTAGTGCTTCCAGGCATCATCAAATTCTGTTCAATGGTTACGTAATCTATTTTACCAGTTGTTGTTTTTTTAATTCCATGAATCTTATGTGAACTCTTTATTACCTCTAAGATTATTATTATTATTACATAATTTATCTTATCTGTCTTTGAACTCCACTACCAATATCAGGATTTATCACAGAAGCAGTGATGCAGAGATTAGAATCGTCGGTTTTACCAGTGATGAAGCCAAAAATTTGGATTCATTATGTGGAAGACACATTCGTTATCATCAAAAAGAAAAACACTTACAGTCTGATCAACAAAGTCTTCTCACAATGGAACAAGGATCGAACAAGAAACTACCATTCTTGGACGTACTGATTACTAGAACCAACACAGGAAAACTGGAAACTTAAGTACATCCGAAGCCGGCCAACACAGATCAAATTCTCAACTACAATAGCAACAACTAAAGAGCTCACAAAATCAAGTGAGTACAAACTTTGTTGAATTCAGTATAAAATACCAGCCGCAAGCATCATCGGGAACAAAGTCACGTACAGAAACCAACAAAAGGATCACCCTGCCACACATAAAATGTATATCAGGAACGACAACGAGACTGTTGGAAACCTTTGAAAAAGATGTTGAATACAAACTGATCAAATCCCTACAATCAATCCTATAGCCAATTAATAGATGAAATGACCAAAGAAGACAAACCAGACATCGTCTACGAAGTAAATTGTGCCAACTGCAAAAAACACTACATCGGACAAAGCGGACGCCCTCTTCATCTTCGACTGAATGAACATCAATTGGCGGTTAAACGCCATGAGACATCCTCACTTATATCAATGCATGTAGACAACTGCGGACACATATTAGACTGAACAAATGTGGATGTTTCGGAGAGAGGTAGTTTCAATAACACTGGAGAATTTTTAGAAGCTTTGCACTCAGGTCAATCGGGAATCAACAAGCACATTGGAATCGATCCAGTCTATCAACCAATCAGGGAAAATATGAACAAACATAGGAACGAAAATCAAACCAACCGGAGATACAACCAATTCAGAGAAGTAAACCATGACAGGTTAAAGGTCAACAAGAACCAATCGACATCGAGGTGTACAGGACAAGCTGTGAACCACATGTGGAGAAATTCGAACACTTCACTTCTACCTGAAGTTTGTGCTGATGATGTCGTTCAGATGAACGATGAACATACCATCCAGCTCAAAGAACAAAACTCAACCAAAAACAACCTAACTATTACATCACCTATCCTTAATGTTTTCTTGATTGTATCACGAAATAACCTCTGACCTGTTCTTGCACATATATATATATATACAGTTATTATTGATAACCCTTGCCATTTCAATTCTTTATATTCACTTATGTTAATTGTTCCACACTATATCTTACCTCAATGTGAAATTCTAATACAAATTTGGTTGTGAGTAGCTCATAAGAACCTAACGAAATATTATCCTGTATCAATGTCCGTACTGGTTTTTTATTGAAATTCACTTGAATTGTCAGCCATTTTCAAATATTAAAATCATATTGAATCATTATTGGTTGTAAGTGAATGTAGATTACCGGTTTGGAATAGTTCATCATGAAACTTTGTTAATATGAGACCTAATCAATGAAACCATACTTATTCAACTTTCTAACTTCAGTCTTTTCAAGATATTGTACAATGATCATCCAGTATTATTAATAAAATCTAATGTAAATAATTTGAAACTCTAAGCAAAGATGAATGGTGGCTAACAGTGGGATCCAGAACCCGGGTTTCGTCCTATTTGAAACTCGTTAGTTGGATGTATCTGCATCGACACTTGGTTCGAGTCCCAGAGAGTGGACATCAACTCTGGGATGAGGTTATATCCAGCTGACGGGTTCCAAATATGACGAAACACGTGTTCTTGTTTCCACTGCTAACCAACATCCATCTTTGTTTTTAAAGCTTGTGACTTAGGACAATATCGAAGCAGTTCGCACAGGATGCATAAATACCAATAAGAGAGACTGATCAATTGCAAACCTAAACAACAATGGGACGATTCAAGTAAACAATACCAAATGAATTTGAAACTGCTTTCGTCAAATAGGATATTCTACTTATTAGTAGTATAAATTTATAAACCACGTTAGAAAGCTGGCTGTTTAATTCTTGCTATCACTGTTTACGATTTCGACTAATATTCCTCTTATTGGCATATATGTATCCTGTGCAGATTGCCTCGATATTGCCTGAAGTCACACGTATTAAAAGCAAAGATGAATGGTTGTTAGCAATGGAGTTCAAGACATTCGTTTCGTCCTATTTGGAACTCGTCAGTAGAGATGTAGAGATGTTGATATTTACTAGACTCAGTAGCTAGGTGGATAACACGATGGCATTTGAAGCGAATAGTATTAGGTACGAGTCCAGAAGTGAACATTAACTTTGGAATACAAGTACATCTAACGGACGAGTTCCAAGCAAGACGAAACACAAAATCTGGATCCTACTGTGTTACACATTAATCATCTCTCTTTATAAACATTTGAAAAGAAGGTTTTTTGTTTTCAATTAAAAGTACCTACCTGCTGAATCCATTTAATAAGATCTTCATAACATTTCAATTGATTATGAAATTTATCTAAATATTCTTGATCCATTTGATTCAATAATGAAGATGATGATAATTTTTCATTGAATTCATTAACTAATGAATGAACAAGTTGTTTCTTTAAATCACCTATCATATAAGATTGTTTAAATGAATAGTCTATTTCAATCCAACAAATTAATTCATTGAAACATTGTACAGATTTGTATATACTATTATATTTGTTTGGATATGAGATCAATTTCACATTCATTGATGATGATGATGTTGTTGTTAGATTTTGAAGTGGACCTGGGATTGATGATAACGGCGACGATGATGATGATGACGATTCAATTGAACTGTTGCCAACTGATGTTATCCAAGTACCAATTAGATATATTGAACTAAAATATAAGTAGGATTCATTAGAGAGAAGAATGATATGTGTCATTATTGAATAGTTGGTTTGAACAAATGTCTTACATTAACAATCACTGATCAGATAACTTTCATTGAATTCTTTAATAAATTTTGACTGATTATTTGAGAGTGAAAAAAAGCTGAATTGATCAAATGGTTTTGAGATCATTGTTGTCAGTCAGTGGTGTTATTATCGATATGGGGTTGTGGATTATAAACTGATCAGTGTTAGACAACTATTGAAAACCAAGAAACATTGGATGGCTATTTTATCTCAGTAATGGAGTTCACTAGCAGTGTATATCCACGACCCTGTATGTGAGAATCGAACCCAGGACCATCGGTCTTACATGAATAGTAGGATAAAATAGCTGTCTAGTGTTTCAAGGTTTTAAATAATGGTCTAACATTGAACAGTTCATGATTTCAATGAAATTATGTTATTGTTTGAATCAAAAGGTTATTGGTCTGATCCTAATGAGTGAACTCGTGTTTATTGGATTTGATCTATTAATGATTTAAAGTTATAACACATTCCTCTGTGTTTTATTTGGGACTTTTATTCTTGCTATACCTCATACAACTTGAATGCTCGAACTCTAGAGCCCTCCAAGTGGCAAGTTAGAAGACAGAAGACGAGTAGTAAGGGATCTTATTCCAAACAGTATCAAATATGATACAAAACACTCAGGTATTTATAGTTTTTAGTAAAGACGAAATCATCATTACTGTCATCCAATCAGCATACAGTGGTTTTTAGCATTTGTCCAATTGGAGAGCTACACGTCGATATTCTGGAATGATTTTTCACAAAATGACTAAATGGAGTGCCTTCAACAACTTCAGAGCTTCTTAGAGCTTCCTTGAGTCCACCGGTGGTCGTCTCTACACCCTGTGTAGCATTCTGTAAAGATTTTTCCCGTTAAAATTTTTCATATAAAATTAAGTGAAAAATTTGTTAATTAACGGAAGAAAACCTTAAAGATTTTTTTCCCGAAGACTGATAAAACCCTTGAAATATTATTGTACAATTGGGTTTTCTTAGTGGCCCAAAATCTGACTCCAAGTAGATCGTATGATTGATTGTTGAAATATACATCATGACTATTCTCGTATAAAATTATCGGCTTAAATGATGGATAATGGGATTAAATAAGTCAAATACAAAATGGATTTCCCATTACATATATTTTGTACACTCATTGATCTGAGCAGGCAATCAGAAGGACTAAGGGAAGAGAAGAGAGCAAAGTGAAATGACGCGCGGTGGAGCATTAATCGATATTTATACTTACTTACTCACTTACGCCTGTTACTCCCAATGGAGCATAGGCCGCTGACCAGCATTCTCCAACCCACTCTATCCTGGGCCTTCTTTTCTAGTTCCATCCAATTCTTGTTCATTTTTCTCATGTCTATTTCCATTTCCCGGCGTAATGTGTTCTTTGGTCTTCCTCTTTTTCTTTGACCGTCAGGATTCCATGTGAGGGCTTGTCTTGTGACACCGTTGGGTGCTTTCCTCAATGTGTGTTCTATCCACTTCCGGCGCTTCTTCCTGATTTCTTCCTCCACTGGGATCTGGTTTGTTCTCTCCCACAGTACGTTGTTGCTAATAGTGTCCGGCCAATGGATCTGAAGTATTTTGCGTAGACAATTGTTAATAAACACCTGTATTTTCTGAATGATGGCTGTTGTAGTTCTCCAGGTTTCTGCCCCATACAGTAGAACTGTCTTGACATTTGTATTGAAAATCCTGACCTTGGTGTTGGTTGACAGTTGTTTTGAGTTCCAAATGTTCCTCAGTTGTAAATATACTGCTCTTGCTTTGCCGATCCGCGCCTTCACATCAGCATCAGATCCACCCTGTTCATCAATGATGCTGCCCAAATACGCAAAGGTTTTTACATCTTCTAAATCTTCTCCGTCAATTTTGATTGGATTGGTGCATTCTGTGTTGTATCGGAGAATCCTGCTTTTCCCTTTGTGTATATTGAGACCTATTGCTGCTGAGGCTGCTGCCACACTGTTCGTCTTCTCCTGCATCTGTTGTTGCGTTTGGGATAGAAGGGCCAGATCGTCTGCGAAGTCTAGGTCATCCAACTGCATCTTAGATGTCCATTGTATCCCGCGCTTTCCTTCAGACGTTGACGTTTTCATGATCCAGTCGATCACCAGGAGAAAGAGAAAGGGTGAGAGTAAGCAACCTTGCCTGACACCGGTCTTCATTTCGAACGACTTTGTCAACTGCCCTCCATGCACGATTTTGCAGTGTAAGCCATCATATGAATTTTGCATGATATTGACTATCTTCTGAGGTGCGCCGTAGTGTCGAAGAAGTTTCCATAGTATTGTTCTGTCCTTGCTATCAAATGCCTTTTTGTAGTTAATGAAGTTGATGTAGAGTGATGAATTCCATTCAATTGATTGTACCACAATGATCCGTAGAGTTGCGATTTGGTCTGTACACGATCTATCCTTACGGAATCCTGCCTGTTGGTCACGAAGTTGGGCGTCTACGCAGTCCTTCATCCTGTTTAACAATACTCTGTTGAAGACTTTTCCCGGTATTGAGAGAAGAGTGATGCCCCTGTAGTTATCACACTTGCTGAGATCGCCTTTCTTTGGTATTTTGATCAGTAGTCCTTCTTTCCAGTCTGTTGGTACTTGTTCCTCATCCCAAATCTTATTGAAGAGAATGTGGAGTATCGATATTTATAGCCACACAAAAATAAGTTACAGACTTGAATCTACCCATTGATGGTAAGGACTGGGTCTGAGTCCCAGAGTGAACATCAACTGTTGGATGCAGGTACATCCAGCTGACGAGTCCTAAATAGGACGAAACGCGCGTCCTAGATTCTACTTCTAGTCACTATCCATATTTGCTTATAAGTTACAGACATAAGATAAATGAGATAAGAAGTGTACACATGTACGTTCATGTAGGAACAGTCAAGGTTGATAAGTGAATAATAATAATAACAAATTTCAACAGTTGAGATCATGAATCAATTGAAGCTAGAACACCATGGAAAATCTGGAAGCACTGGACGGCCGTTTTGTCCTATTATGGGACTCCTCGGCAGTTGAAACTACTACAATCTCCACAAAACCCCTTCTGATACTAATAATAACAAAGTCAAAACGTGACTCAAGATGAATGAATAAATTGACCTATTCAGAAGTTAGAATAAGTTATATAGGCTTATCATAGCAACCGACACTGCATCTTAAACATCAGTCAACACATACAAATTCAAACAAACAGAAAGAGGTTTTAGAAGTTATCAACATGTAAACTTATTCACATACCGAAAAATGTAATGCTTCTTATATTATATCAATCATTCAGTTTTCTTTCATGTTTATTCCATGTTTCCACTGTTTTCCTAAAGGATTTTTTTCTTGTTTCTATCTGTTTTTACATGTGTGTGTATGTGAGGACGGTCCACGGGTGAACTCGAGGAAGCTCTAAGAAGCTCAAAAAGACCTGAAGATATTCCATTCAACCAGCTTTTGGAAGAATATTTCAAAATCAATACATGTAGCTTCCCTATTGGACAAATGCTAATAACTCCCTGTATGAGGATTGAAAGACTATAATAATGATTTCGTTTTTAATAAAAAACTATAAATACCTGACAGTTTTGTATCATAATTGGCACTGTTTTGGAACAACATTCCTTTCACGTGTCTTTTGTCTTCTCATTCGCGACTTGGGTAGGTTCTAGCGTTTGAATGCTCAAGTTATATGCGGCATATTATGAATCTATGCTCTAGGTATAATAGTGTTCGTGCAGAAGATATTGGAATTGAATTGTATATTTATTTATTATTACAATGAATGATTGGTATTAGCTGTATTTTTAGATTGTATTCGTCAAGGATTGATTTCAATTAGGGTACCATTGAAACTCAATTGGAAAAAGATATCAATAGTGCATATCTATGATCCCGTCATAGATCTAACTTATTCCCTTCGGTCGATTCGTGATATCAGTAACATTTATCTACTTATTTGAACAAATAAATAGTGGTAGAAAGGGGCAAGGAATACAATATGCGCCACTTAAGTCACTTGAGTTGTGTATGTATGTGCTATGATACAACCCGGGTGCCCAAACCGAGGCAGGTGGTTTTCTTAGAGGGCCATATCCGGAGCCTTCGACCTAAAGGTCTAATCCACAAGGCGGCGGAGCGATATTAGAGGAGATGCAGTCCCATGGTAGACAGTGACTGATAATTTGTTCACATACCATTTGTTCCCCCAGGATTCTGGAGTTCATGTGCACCATTGGTTTGAAACGAGGGATTTCCAACACGCCTAGGTGTATCCTCCATACCCACCAAACCAGTTAAAGTGCTCAACATTCTCTTTTTGTCCTCTCAATTTCACAAACAACACCGATGCCGCGAGAAGGCAGTGAGTGGGACTTTCCTGACAGTGGTTATATACGCGTGACCACGTGAGAGCAGTTCGAGAGGGAGAGCTGACTCTCCCCACCCTTTGCCGTACCAGGGCATTTGGATGTGGTATCAGTTACATTCAATAATATCCATAAACCACTATACCGACACGGAGAGACTCTAATGTATGGACGAGCCAATCAGAAGCGTTTGAGAGATTTCCAGGTCACACCACCAACTTCAGTGCTTAATGTTAACGTACAATCGGTTCACAGGGAATTTTGTACAAAACGTGATAATTGAGCGGCTATAACAAATAAAATGGCAAGACTTTAATTTATGGACGAATCAATCAGGTATAAGATAAGAAATCTTGAATTTTGGCATGAAAGCCATTCATCCATTTGGCTAAATAGATTTCTGGTATTGTTGCTTATGTCAAATCGTGATGAGAACCCTATATATAATTCCTAACTAAGTCAAATTATGACAATTCTTGGGAACTGGATAATAAAAGTACCAGTAACACTGGCTGCAACCAGGTACTACAATATATACGGATGTTTGGAGAGCATACAGACTCCTCCGTCGGCTTGGTTATGTGCATCATGTCGTTATCCACAAGTGGCATTTTGTTTACTCAACAACTGGAGTGCATATAAACAATATTTAAACTATGTGGTCGAGTCTGAAAGAGTTTTTGAGACTTTATCATGGCTCCAGAGGCCGACTATTCTGTAGCCATATAGATGATTTCCTCTACTACGTGCATTACGATTTTAGGACCTCTGAACCACTTTCTAACCTTGATAAGTTTTTCAACCACGTATAAGAAGTGTATCCACTTTCTTTCTTTGGTTTTGTATAACATATTTATACTCTATACTGACTGTTTGCTGATTGACTAATATTTGTCAAGGTCACTGAAGATTCGTTCAAAGGTCGTCCATAAATTCGAGTCTCGCCGAAAGGGGATATATTAACAATCTATTCAATATACAATTTCTCTAAAAAATGATCAAAGAGGTAACTATTTTAGTTTACTTACCATGTTCTTTTTGGATCATCTTTCTTTCTATTATAATAAACTTGAAAATCATTGATAATTTTCAGATAATCATCATTAGACATTTGATTCATTGATTGAATATAGAATAGAATTATTAAATTAGTGGGTAATTGTTCTGTTCTATTCATTGTATTATTCATATATTGTGATAAACATTGATATAAATCATTCATTGTAGTTTGTTCACTATCAGTTAAGTTGAAATGATGTAATTTCAATGAAGATGAACTTGAGTGATATAGAAAAAGAGAAGAAAACAAACAAACAAACAAGCATAGATGAAATGAATGATTGATTGATTCATACTTTACTTTTTATTTATTTATTTGAACACAGATATTGGTACGAGGAGGGCTGTGATACTGCCCGGGTGCCCAAACCGAAACAGGTGGTTGTCTTAGGGAACCACACTTGGAACCTTTTGACCTAAAGGTCTAACCTACAAGGCAGTGGAGCATCGTAAGGAGATGCAGTCTCATGGTAGCCGGTGACGAACGATTGGTTCATACGCCATTTACTTCCTTAGGATCCTGGAGTCAATGTGCACCATTGGTTTGGAATCGGGGTTTTCCAACTCCCCTAGGCGGACTCGCCGTGTCCACCAGCCCCATTAAAGCTCCAGAAATTTGCTTTTCGTCCTCTCAATTTCGTAAACAACATCCCCGCCACGAGAAGGCAGTGAGTAGGACTTCCCTGGCAGAGGCAATATACGCGTGACCATGTGAGAGTATTTCGAGAAGGAGAGCGGACTCTCCCCACTCTCGACCGTGCCTGGGCATTTGGGGGCCTTACTTACTTACTTGACCTTGCTTTTCGCTAAGCATCTTTATAACTTACCATCAGCTGTTTTGCTCAATTAATCTCTGATCATGTAATATTGAAAGCATATTCGGGTACGGTATGCCAGTTGATTACCTCCTACTAAATCACTTAATACTTTTGTAAAATATGAAAATTGTACATTGAATACATCATTTGCATATTTTTTCTTCACTTGTCCTTTACATACTTCATCTGTTGTTATTTCGATCGCTTTCTGTTTTCTTTTCTTTTCTCGTTATTTCAATCTTCTGTTGGTAAGCATCTCACTTTCAATCCCACCTACATACTACTTATATCTGTCTCCATGAATAGCGTACATCACAATATGATCGACCAAATCTATCGATATAGATCAAGAGATCAGATTTCTGTGGTTATGTCAGTTGATAGTAGATTAACCTACATCACATATTTCTAGAAATACTCTAGAATTCCTGAAATTTCGATTGAGAATTTTGATATGTTCTCATTTGAAAAAATCCTCAACAGTATGTACACCTCACTACACTGAAGTATACACGAATATACACTAATAGTGAAATCTACAATGTGTTTCCACTTGTAACACAAGCATGAATACAATACATTTATTACGTAACAAGGTTGATACTAGTTTTTAGAACAATCTATAAAATATTTCATTCTTTTTTGAAACATTTCAATAGTATAAATTAATAACATGCTACAATTAACAGAATAGCTATTATCACTTGGATACTAATCTTTGATGGTAGTTTCACAATACTACTTATATTCCCTAATAATTAGTTATTTAAAATGAGAGTTCATGTTTTCGAATACTTTACCTATTCTAATTATTTTAAGCGAAGATGAATAGTAGCTAGCAGTGGAATCTAGGACGTATGTTTCATCTTATTTAGGACTTGTCAGCTGGATGTAACTGCATCCAACAGTTGATGTTTACTCTGGGGCTCGAACCCACTAGCATTAGCTTCAAATGACATCATGTTATCTACTTAACTACGGAGTCCTGATAGCCACTTACTTGTGCAATGGTGTGAAGTTTAAATTCATTTGGTATTGTTTACTTGGATCTTCCCATTGATGTTTAAGACTGCAATTGCGTCCTGGATTCCACTGCTAGTTATTATCCATCTTAGTTTATAATGCATGTGAATTAAGGCAATATCGAAGCAATAAGTCCAGTATGCACATATACCAATAAGAGAAACTGATCAATTGCAGTCTTAAACGTGAATAGAAACATTCAAGTAAACAATACCAAGTGAAATTATTATTATTACTATCAGTATATATGTAATTTGACAAGTATAAATAGCTGGAAAGGCGAGACTATAATTTACGGACGAACCGATCAGATATAAGATAACAGGTCTTGGATTTTGGTACGAAATTCATCCACTCACTTGGCTAAATGGAGTTTTGGGATTATAACTGATATCAGTTCGTGATGAAAACCCTAAATCTAATTCTTGACTTTAACCATCAACCGTGAATCATAAATCAAATTCCTCATACAGGTTTATAACCCTCATTTGGTCCTATATATTAGGTGAACACTCTCAAGGTCACTTCAGCGTCGCTGAAAGGTCATCCATAAATTATAATCTCACCAAAAACAAAACAATTCTCCAGATATTATTCATTCATAGGCACCGATATGTCAATTATCATCATGCATAGATATGTGGCTCCTTATCTGATGAAGCGAAGAGAAGACAACGAAGTGAAATGACGCGCCTTGGAGAAGGTGGGTGAGCCAACTCCCATTTAATCAAGCGTTAGTCAATATTTATAGCCAGACAAAAATAGGTAACAAATATATGATGAATAGGATAAGAAGGGGACACATACGCTCATATAAAAACAGTCAATATTAATAATTGGACAATCAACTAAGTCAATATGTGACTCTAGAAGAATGAATAAACTGACCTGTCCAGAAGTTAGAATACGTTATATATAGGCTTAGCATAGTAACCAACACTACAAATATACCTTACCATTTACTTTATTATCAAAAACGTTCTGTATGGATGTGTGTGCGTGTGTTCTTTTTCTATTAGTTTAACTAAAGTTTCATATCCTATTGATTTTAAATGAGGTACCCTTTAATAGAAGTAAAACTGTTTCTATTGCGTAAGCAAATACCTTATAGATCCCCATTATTTAAATATAGAAAAACAGTTGTTGCTAATGACATAATCTAAACAGCTGTGTTATTTCCATAGTAATGAAATGTCAATTATAACAATTTTCTAATCTATCAACTCAACAACAAACTGAATTATTGAATAAAAGAGAAAATATATTAACAATGTACTAGATTAAATACAAACATGAAATAGTTGATAGAATGTATACTCTGTTACATAACTATTGGCTAAAACAGAATGAGAAAAAATGAAGGCCCTGGATTCGAATCCCATGAGCGGGATTGTGGATATGCATTGCTGAGGAGTCCTACAATAGGATGAAATCATTTATTTCAAACATACTTGATTTATATATCAACCAAGTAGATCGCATCACACCATAAATTAGGAAATAACATTTATACACGATCAGGCCAAAAAAAGGCTGTGAACGTGGAAGACTGTAGTTAATAAACTGAACATAACTTAAGAACAGTAAATCGTATCACAATAATCTATAGGCTAAAATGAAGCTTATAATAAGAGGAATATGGATATACATAATCTAGTTACTGAACGGTTATACAATAGGAATATATATATATATATATATAATATTAGTCAATCAATAGTTCTCAGAAGTTACCCGTAATCTAATGTTTATTAGAATATAACAGGATCCACCTAGGGGAGTTGTAAAACCCTCATTCCAAACCACTTGTGCACATGGGCTGGCTCCAGGATCCTGAAGGAAAAAAATGGCGTATGAACCAAGTATTAGTCATCGGTTACCATGAGACTGAATCTTTTCTAACGTTTTTCCATGTCCCATGTGGATTAGACCTTTAAGTCGAAGGTTCCGGGTTCGGACCGCCCCCTCCAAAGTAAGCCACCTGCTTTGATCTAGACATCCGGGCAGTATCATATCACATAGACACACACACACGCACAAATCAAGTGACTTTTGTGTGGCACATATGTATTCAATGCCCCTCTATACCAATATTTATGTGTTCAAATAACAATAATAATAATAATGATAAACCTTTTTTACAACTTACTTTATACTGGAACAAATATGTTCATAGAATGCTTGTATCACTATATTCATATAAACATCATCGATATCATAGAATATCATTAAATGATATGTATATAATAATTCATAATAAAAATATAAAATATCACGATTTAATAAAGTTTTTATCATTAAATTATTTAATTGTTTAAATAAATTCTGTTGATAATCATTTGAATAATCCGCTAATAAATTTGCTTGTTCAATATTCAATAAATCATGATTCATAACTAATTGAATATTGAATTGTTTTGATTGAGATTGAATTAAATTAATTAAATGTTGAGGATTTTGAATTGTTCTCTTATTATTATCATCATCATTAAATTGAATGGAATAATTTGATGTATTTGGATGAAATTCAATATACAATGTATAATTCAACGAATCAATATGTAATTGAAATTGTTTGAATTCATTCGTTTGAAGGTCACGCGGGTCGTTCAAATTCAAATAGGATGTATATAAATTATATAAATTAACAAGATGATTATTTATAGATTCCCAATTATATAATTTTGTTAAATAAAGGATACCAATATTTAAAATAGAATTAGTTGATGAATTATTATTATTATTATTATTATTATTATTATTATTATGTTGAGGATTGTTTAAAATAAGATTAACTGTTGCAATGAATGAATTGTTTAAATTTATAGTTCTTTCAGAAAATCCAATAAATAGATCTAAAAGGATAAAATGAAACAAAGTTAAACAATTGAATGATGATAATGACAATTTCTAATAGTTGATATTATGAGACAATTGAAGTTAGACCATACCATAGATAATCTGGAAGCATTGAACAGCTGTTGTGTCCTATTGTGGGAGTCCTCAACAGTGATCATACATGATTCTGCATCGCGACATTCGTTTGGCTTACTTACTTACGCCTGTTACTCCTAATGAAGCATAGACCACTGACCAGCATTCTACAACCCACTCTCTACTGGGCCTTCCTTTCTGGTTCTATCCAGTTGTTGTTCATTTTTCTCATGTTTGTCTCCATTTCTCAACATGATGTGTTCTTTGGTCTTCCTTTTCTCCTTTGGCCTTGAGGATTCCATGTGAGGGCTTGCCTTATGACGCAGTTCGGTGCTTTTCTCAATGTGTGTCCTATCCACTTCCAGTGCTTCATCCTAATTTCCTCCTCCACTGGGATCTTGTTTGTTCTCTCCCACAGTAGGTTGTTGCTGATAGTGTCTGGCCAACGGATCCGAAGTATTTTGCGTAAACAGCTGTTAATAAACACTTGTATCTTGTGGATGATGGCTTTCATAGTTCTCCAGGTTTCCGTGCCATACAGTAGAACTCTATTGCCATTTGTATTGAAAATTCTGACCTTGGTGTTGGTTGACAGTTGTTTTGAGTTCTAGATGTTCTTTAGTTGTAGATATGCTGCCCTCACTTTACCGATCCGCGCCTTCACATCTGCATCAGATCCACCCTGTTCATGAATGATGCTGCCCAGATATGTAAGCGTTTTTACATATTCCAAATCTTCTCCGTCAAGTGTGATTCGGTTGTTGCATGCTGTGTTGTATCGGGGAATCTTGCTTTATTCGCCTCGCTTAATACAGTAAAATTAAGATTGCATTTTGCATTGATCAAATAATACTATTATTTAGGCGGGATCGTGGATGCGCACTGCTGAGGACACCCGCAATAGGACGAAACGGTCGTCCAATGTTTGCAGGTTTCCCATGGTGGTCTAGTTTCAATTGACTTATAAATTTAACTATTAAATTACTATTATATCCACAAAACCCATTTCTGATAATGACGATGTTAATGGGTTATAAGTAATTTAAGATCTGGCAAAAATATTTATCATTGCATGTCAAGGTGATATTGAATGGTAATAAGGATATATGGGAAATTGTCCCTTAATAATTGCTCATGCTGTAGAAGAATACTTCTTTTTGAGGAAACTAGAAAAGGAATCTAGACAAGAGTGGTCTTGTCTACTTGAGAGTTTGACCGAAGAGTAAAAATGACAGCTTAGTGAGACTTTGATGTTTACGCGTTTTGTTAGAAATTCTCGATGTGTTTGTTCTGTAGTTTTGAGTCCTTGCCGTAAATGAGAGAAATTCGTACCATATGGCAGGGGGTCCTCTTTTTTTCTCACTGATCATACACATGCTTGTCAAGTGGACAATGAACTCTTATGTATATGGCGTATCACGAATTGCACATAGTCATCGAGACGACTATTAAGATTTCACAATATATGGTCCCTTTATTGCTTCAATTATTGTTAGAACCATAGCGTAAGTAACACTGAAGTTAGATTTAGGGTACTAAATGAAGGTAAAAAATTGGTTGGTGAGGTAGTGAGTCTTTACCAACTGAAGCCGATTGGGACATATGTTACCTACTTAGAAAGGTTATGTTAGCTAGTGTAGGAGTAGATCTGAACAAAGTTAATGACAGTTAAACCGAAACTTGTTATCAATTCATAAAGTTATTTACTTCTGTGTTTTTAGTCTTATTCATAGATATAATCTATCTGCTAAGAGTCCTGGCGTAACCGTGATCAGTGGTTGACGACGTTGGGTGACATGGCACAGATACATTGAAAATGGAGAAGATTCATCCATTCTTCATCTTACTTTAGATCTCGAGTTCCATTGTTCTTTTAAACCCAACTTCTTGATTTATTCTTCTGAAAAAATATTTTGAATGATAAGACTTTATTATTATTATTATTGGTGATACGATTATTTTGACTCCTTCATTATTCATCTTGTCGATTCCTTTGCGTTGTTGTGCTAATTTGGTATGCGAATTTTTAGATAACTCACACAAGTACCAGAGTATATGTTGATTTTGACTGACTAACAAAGTAACTGTTATATCCAATGAAGACTAAATGAATGATAACTGTCAGGATCAATTGATGGACTATCATTATATATATATCATGAGCTTTCGACTAACACATTGGATAGTATGGTACGTTTTATTGTTCTTAATCTGATGCCAGTTTATTATACACAGTCTCCCCTGATCATGCACAACTTTTATTTTTCATTTTATGATGTGATCTGGTCGGATATGTCTGTATATAACCTACATACGCTTAAAATATAACATTCGTATGGTGGAGGTTGATTATTGTGATCTAGACTCAGCGGGCAGGGCAACGAGAGAAGCTACCGGATCATGCACCAATAAGCCCCAAGATGTGACTCAGAGTTATTAGTGCTGAACATATTCCAATTGGTGCTTTTGTCACGTGCTATTGGAGAGCATACATAAGTCATAACAGTGGCCAATGTTAAGTCGGAATTAATACAAAAGAAAGTGAAAAATTAGGAGATCCTGGGTTTTAATCCCATGTAAGGGATCGTGGAGACACACTGCTAAGGAATCTCATACTAGGACTAAACGGCCATCCACTGATTTCAGGTTTTTAATGATGGTCTAACATTGATCAGTCCATGACTTCAATCTCTGTAAACGCCAAAATGAAGCGTTAAAACAACATCAGTATCTCATAAGGAAGATGAGAGAACGGGGAGTGCGCAAAATGAAGAACATAACAAGCTAATCTATGTATGTAATATAACAAATGTACATAGGAACAAGATGCAGATGAAGACAGCCAGTGTAGCAGCAGTCTCTGCATCAGTAGGCTTTAGTATACACAAGGGGAAAGCCAAGGTCCTCAAATACAACACCGAGAACACTAGCACAATCACACTTGACGCTGGAACTCTGGAAGATATGGAAATCTTCACATACCTAGGAAGCATCATCGATGAACAAGGAGGTTCAGATGCAGACGTAAAGGCGAGGATTGGAAAAGCAAGGACAGTATTACTACAGTTGAAGAAAATATGGAACTCAAAACAACTTTCAACCAATATCAAAGTGAGAATCTTCAATACGAACGTCAAGGCAGTTCTACTGTATGGAGCTGAAACTTGGAGAACTACAACAACCACAATCAAGAAAGTACAAGTATTTTTAAATAGCTGTCTTCGTAAGATACTCAACATCCATTGACCGGATATCATCAGCAACAGCCTTCTGTGGGAGAGAACAAACCAGCTTCCAGCTGAAGAGGAAATTAGGAAAAGACGATGGAAATGGATAGGACATACACTACGCAAATCGTCAAGCTGCATCACGAGTCAAGCCCTAACTTGGAATCCTGAAGGGAAGCGAAAAAGAGGAAGGCCAAAGAACACATTGCGTCGGATAATAGAAGTAGATATGAAAAGGATGAATAACAACTGGAAGGAGCTGGAAAGGATTACCCAGGACAGGGTTGGATGGAGAATGCTGGTGAGCGGCCTATGCTCCTTCACGAAAAGTATCAGGCGTAAGTAAGTAAGTAAGTAACATAGGAACAAAACTTTCTTCGGAATTATTGGAGTACTTTATACTTGAAATAGGTAGTATATGAGCTTTCAGAATTGAGTGCTCCTGAGTAAATAATAAAAAAAAAGAAATTTAATCAATTCTCTATCCTCAGGAGTCAGACAAATATACACTGAAGATACATTGAATATAATCCAACAAACAGTAGCTTCCCATTTCTGTTCATTGATTATAATCTATGATCAATACATCAAATTGAAAGTACTTTCACAGTTCAAGGAAAATACAACTGCTAAGATATAAAACAATAGAATATCTAGATCCTTAAGTAAAATATATTTTATTCATCAGAACTTTGAACTGGTTTTTTATTATTTCACCAACAAGATTCTTATTTACTAAGTTGTAAAGTGTTGGAGTGATCCAGAAAACTTCTCGCAAAAGACAAGTAAGACTCAGGAAACATTAAGAAGCATTTCATCCATTCAATGTTCACTTGAAGTTTAGCCAAAAATATCAAAAAAGTGAAAAGTCACATGTAGAGTTTCTGATTGGCTGATTACTATACTGCTTACTATGTTTAGCAGCATTCCAGAATCTTCGGGAAACCCAAGGACATCTAAAATAGTCTAAACACCCTATATTTTCTGTACTAGAACAAACCTTTAGAGTAAAGTGCTTCTTGCATATTTTGCGTCTTTTCTCTCGTGTTTAGGTCGTTGTGTAGTTCCAGCTTGAGGATTACGAGAATAGCTTGAGAACCGAATATAGCGTTCAATTAGCAAGACTTATCATAAAGAGTAAACTACCATTTTGAGTTACCTCAATATTTATTTTATTATGAAAAATCAATAAACGACCAAATTGTACCCAACAACAATATTGTTCAAAATAAACTCACTTGAACAAGTATCACATTCAACGGGTATTATCTCTGTATTACATAATATTGACATATTATTATTATTATTACTACTACTACTACTACTAGTAGTAGTAGTAGTAGTAGTAGTAGTAGTAGTAGTAGGAGGAGGAGGAGGAGGAGGAGGAGGAGGAAGAGGAGGAAGAGCAGGAGCAGGAGTACTGTGTTGTAGCTGATGTTGATGTTGTTGATGATGATGATGATGATAATGTTGTTGTTTTTGTAAATGTGTCACTAATATTTGTAATCTTTCATTATCTGTACGTAAATAATTTAATTGTGAATATAAATGTGACATTTCATCTTTTAATTGATCTAATTGATGAGCACTTGCTAAAGCTTCCAATTGTACATCAGTTAATTTAGATTCTTTTTCAGCTAATTGACATTTTAAATGATTCAATTCATCTTGACATGATTGTTTATTTAATCTATAAATCAATAATTTGAAGGTTAAAAAAGTGAGAGAGAGAGAGAATTATCATTATGAGATCATTATGATTGAGATCATGAATCGATTGATGTTAGACCATCATTGAAAACCTGGGAGCAGTAGACGATTGTTTCATCCTATTGTAGGACTCCTCAGCAGTGTGCATCCACGATCCTGTTCGCGATTTTCAATGGTGATCTAACATCAATCAGTTCATGAACTCAATCAAAAAAATTAATCATCTTCACAACCTCATACTGATATCATTATGAAGTTATGGCGATAAATAAATCCCCAATATAAGTAGTTCAGTAAGTCGTCAACATTTGATTATGACCTTATTAATTTGATTGGAAATACCCTAACTGAAGGTTCTCAGTCACGCATTCGCACCAGATCACGAGTGGGTATGTCATGCTACGCATCTCTTACAACCGTTAACTAGATTAGATTAAACGCTTCCCAATATATCAATAGCCTTTCAAATATGTCTTTGAACCTCTTCATTTCTGACTTTTGATTTGATTGGGTTAGTATAACTTGATTATAAAGGTCTTATGTGTAAAGGCGTTGTCAAACTCCCAATACCTGTGGCATATTTAAACTAATCTAAGATTAAGGGACTATTAAAAGCTAAAAATCACCGATAATTGTCTAGTTGATTACTTTGAAAACATTCTAATAGAGGACCTTCCAGTTTTGTGAAGAATGTATTAAGATTAAAATTGTTCATTAGTTTTGTATTGTTTGCTTGAATCTTCTCATTGATATTTAAGACTAAAATTGATCAGTCTCCCTTATTGGCATATGTACATCCTGTACGGATTGCCTTAATATTGCCTTAATTCACTAGCATTATAAGCAAAGATGGATAGTGGCTACCAGTGGAATCCAGAACGCGCTTTTCATCCTGTTTGGGGCTCGTTAACTAGATGTACCTGTATCTCATCTTCGGGATTAGTCTATGACGAAAAAGTCATCGATACAATAGACTGTTTATTTGTATTTGTTGTACGAAGATATGATGAAATAATGTCAGCTGTTTTATAGTAAATTCCTTAGGAATGTGATAATTCTCGGAAACAAAATATGATAACAGTCAATATCTCTTCTCTGTTTGAAATTTCATTCTGGACTACTTAGCTTTCAAATCACATCTACCTAGCGCTCCACAGGCTCTCTACTACATAATGTTGAATTCCACATACGATTATTGTATTAAAATAAGAAAAACTACTTTTAAGTTGTCAATATGATGTTGTAGAGATAGTTGAAATCATGAACCGATATAAGCTTGACAACTATTGAAAACCTGGTAACACTAGACAGCCGCTTCGTCACAGGCTCCTCAACAGAATGCATCTACAACTCACACGCAGGAATCGGACCTAGGATCTTCAGTCTCACGTCAAACCTCTAGACCACAGGGCCGGCACCCAACAGTGTTAATATCTAATTTCAATCAATCTAAAACATTTCATGACCAACTTCTTTTGTTTTTGCTTTGTAAATTACACACGTCCGACACGGTTGAACTACACTTGTCATGGCTTCTCACTAGAATTCTAGAAATTCACTTTGGAAGCTAGTCATCACTAGTAAGCACACGATAATTTTCAGTATGGAGTTGTGGAGATCATTGAAATAATTGAAATTGTCTTTTATATTGATATAATCTCAACACGTAATATCTGAGACGACCTAAAAGAAGCATATAACAAAGTTACAATCATAAAACTTATCAGTACGACACATTCCCAACCCTATAGGAAATCGAACCTGGGACATTCCGAATCTCTTTTCATGAGTACTTAACCTTTAAATTAAAGTACAGATTTTCAAATAAAACCATAACTTGATATTAAATAACATTAAGAAATATAAACATACTCTAATTTACTATGATTCCTGTCCAGAATATTTCTATCACCTCCTTCAACATTGAATAATTTATTTTGTTTATCTGAATCATTATAGTTAACTAAGTAATTTGGGCAACTAAGTTGATTTGAATGGATTGGTCGATGGTCCTGTTGTTGTTGTTGTTGCTGTATTCGTGTGTTGTTCAAACGATCTATAGTTTAATTTTAAAAAAAATGAAGATCGTTAGTTTTCCTCTTTCATTATGTAAAAATATCGTACACTACTTTTTTGATAACTCCGCCTGTAGCTCTTCTAGAGTTACTGCCAATCCTAGGCCCGACTAAAAGAGGAGAGTTGGGCATGAGGTTGGCAACCCTATCCCATAAAAAAATCTTGTTAAAAAAATGTCAATCAGATTCAACAAATTAAACCATTTAAACTCTTTCCTGAGAGTTGAAAGTAAAACTATGATGCTTCTGGATGAAAGCCGAAATTCTTCAGAAGTCACGAGGCCGATACTTCTAACAACCAGAGCAATCACAAAAAACTATTTCGATGATGATGAAGGTGGTGGTGATGATTATGGTCCTGATGTTTTCTCTAACTAGTTTAACTGCTTAGTTTTCATTATCATTCTGGACAATATCACTGATGCTTACTACCTGGAGAAGTGAAATTCTTAGCTTTTATTCAAGCGTCAAATTAGTTCACTTTAATAGTCTTCATAGACATTGTTGTCTTCATTTGTTCTTAGTATTCATGTTGAATATTGGTCTTTTCTTGTTTACCTTTGATATTGTTGTCCATTGATTTCTGTCGTATGGATATTAATAGAGTGTATCTATATGTTTATTGGTTACCAATTGATCCGAATATCATGAATAAAGCATCTAGTTCAAGAAACATAACAACATTAAGATGATCTATCGGAGCTAGAAATCTCCTTTATCATTTCAAGATAAACATTTTGGTAAACATATCGTTTTTACCAAACCGGTAAGTACTATACGTTAGTAGCTAGTATGAAACAGAAGATCGGATAACTCGAGTTCAAATCCTATAGGGAGCATTGATTTTTACCCTGTTAATGAGTGCCAGTTAACCAAGACACTTAGGTTAATTATAAAAATTAAGGTTTGTGGAGGTTGTAGCAATTTAGTAGTTGAATGAGTTGAGTTATGCTAGATCACCATGGAAAACCTAGAAGCAATGGACGGTTGTTTGGTTCTAGTATGGGACTCCTCAAGCATTTACTCATTGAAAACAATGATGGACGGCCGCGCAATACCATGGATTGGTTGAAGTTACACATGCCGGCTAACTCAGTAGTTTAGAGGTTAAATGTTCGCACGTAAAACCAAAGGTCTTGGGTTCAATTCCCACGTGCCGGATCATGGATGCGCACTGCTGAAAAGTTCCAAACTACAAAGAAACAGCCATCCAGTGTTTTCAGGTTTTCCATGGTGGAATATTAAATTAATCACAATTTACTTTCAACTACCTATAAGAAAAACAAATTACTACATTGCAAGAACATTGTAGTAATTATATTATAGTTTCAATAGAAAGCAATTACATAACATAATTACTGAGATTATCATCAACCAATTCATGAATTACAAGCAATTATCATTAACTACATCATAATGACCACTTAATTGAAATGTTGTACATTTGTAAAGAAAATCCATTTAAAAAACATGTTCACACCTACGATACACAAATCAAGGGCAAGTACACATATAGTTACAAATACATATATGAATGTGTACACAATTTTATACCTAGAGAAAAGTCGGTTGATGTAACCAGGTGAAAAGAAACATACAACGTAACACAGAAATGAAAGAGTGCTAAGTGAACTAAAAGAAACTATGAAATGAGTGAATGCATAATACATATATATATATATTAAGTAAACATTCCAATGTAAACACGCACACACATACATGTACAAGAACACTCCATTTCCCGAATGTTTATCAATCAATAGAAGGAAGCACAAATAAGTGAGGTATTAAGTTACAAAAGATTTCATCGAGAATTGATCATCACATTAACTTGGTGAAAAGATTACAGAGATGATGAATAAACAAATGAGGTAGAAATCATAGGCCATAGAGTTTAAGAGACAACTGAATGTGAAACCGGTTACATAAAGCCTTTTTACGTATAGTTCTTGTTGTGTTAGCTTAGTGCTTTAGAGGCTCTATATCGGGTAATCGAAATCTATAGGGGATGATATGATGAACCGTTGTTTGTAAGACTTTTTTAATTGCTTTTTCATTATGAAAAGGTAGCATCGCTTCAGATGATGATTGTTTACGAAAAATCCTTCCTTCCATCATAGTACCATACAGTCGGAAGTATGACTTTGTCTTCGAATCCTAAGTCTGTTGCTTTTTGTCCTACTGTTGTCTAATTGACCTGAATGACATAGTAAGACGTAAAGGAACGAGTATTTCTACCAAAACATATCTCAATGGCATAACATCATGTGCAAATTTAACCACTACATCGAGGTAGCAGCTACGATTGTTAGTTGAAATCTAAACGTGAATAGTCGAGTTTATAAATTATCCTAAAAAATTAAGTCCTAAATTGTGTCGCGTTAATCGTTATAAATTGAAATATGCAAGACGGAGTGTTATTGTCATTAGATTTATTCGTAATGAAGATATTCACAGTGACCATTGATTATATGTAGAAAAACTAGACATGAAGCCCCAGTTATTCATAATTTAGTAGAATATACTGAGGTTACTGTACCATGTGACCTATGACCCACGGTATATGAAAGTACAGAAAATGAGTGGATTACTAATAAACGATCATAAATGCATTAAAAACGTTCCTTGTGCATGATGGTACAGGAGGGGAATTATTTGATGAACAGCAATGAATCGTCATGTGTCTGACCTCCAGTGGGGTTGTGGGTGCTCATTGTATGGAAATAAGTCACAACAGTTAGACGTGAAGACATGATACAAATAACAACACTTTCAAACAATCAGCATTTGCGGCGATACTATATTTTTAAAGCGGAAGGAAGGTGTGAAACGGTTGGGACTTTTAAAATAGTAAATCTTATATTAACTCTGGTAGTTTCCTTTGACAGTGGTAATGCCTGAAGATTATGGAGCTAGTATACTATGAACCACAAAGAAAAATTTCTCGTCTACTCGGTCAGAATTAACTATTATTTATGCTCTACAGTCAAGCTTTCAGGTAGCCAAGATCAATGGTAATTAAATTTTCTTTCTGGTTCCTTCAAGGAGAAATATCCTTCTACAGTGTAGGCAAATAGGAACTAACAACCACCCCCATACCTCTAATGCACTCGATATCGCCTTTTTTCTATCAAATCATTTCGTCATTTTGTGATGTTTCTTTTATCCCTACTAAACAACAACCACAAAGTCAACTATCTAAGCTAAATTAACTTCAGATGATGAATTTGACCGCGTTCTGTGTATTCCGATTATTTCAGTATAATTACGAGTTATTATATGTTAGATTAAGTTCAACTATTTTATTCAGTCAGTAATAGTATCTGTCGTACAAATCCTCTTTCAATATTAATGTAATTAAGTTGTTTTTTGAAAAACACACTTTCCACCACGTAAATCTTATACTGTGGTGTATGCTACTTATGTCGACAGATATAAGTAGTATGTATCGCTAATCGAAAGTGAAATGCCTGATAGCAGAAAGTTAAGAAAATCGGAGAGGAGAGAACAAGAACAGTGACTGATTGGTATAGAAACAAAGGAACAACAAAATCTGAAACAATTGATGGATATTTTGCAAATGAAGTATTTACTGTATAGTCCTCAGATTTTATTAAGCGATTCCGTAAATTTGTAACAAAATACATTTGGTTGTCCCCACTGGTGTTCTTGTTCACAACAATACGTGTTTCTAATTTCTGGAAACAATGAGTCTAAGAATTCCTATAGAACTTAAACACAAATATATATCCGTATAGGGGTTGTGGAGATTGTTAAGTTTTGATTGAGATCATGAACCGATTGATGTTAGACCACCATTCGAAACCTGGAAGCACTGGACGGCCATTTCATTCTATTGTGGGACTCCTCAACAGTGCGCATCCACGGAGCTAATCCGTGTCGGGTAGAAACAGGTGTCTACCTCAGTACAATGGAAGATGGTTGCGCAATTTCGTGGATTGGTTGAGGTTAGACATTAACACCATTGGATGCCGGCCTGCTCAGTGGTCCAGTAGGTTAAGCGTTCGCGCGCGAGACTGAAGGCCCTGGGTTCTAATGCCGCGAGCGGAATAGTAGATGCGCACAGCTGAAAAGTCCCAAAATAGGACGAAACGGCCGTCCAGTGCTTCCAGGTTTCGAATGATGGTCTAACATCAGTCGGTTCATGATCTCAATCAAAGCAAATATATATGTAGTGAACGACGAAGTCAAGTGGAGAAGAACAATTTGTTCAATACAAAATTACAGAATGTCTTGATAAAATATGATAACCATACATTGGATACTTCATTTACATTTCTCCTATCAGTTATCCTTTACACACTTCATAATTCTTCCAATTCTGTTATTCCTAAAATGGTTCACTGTTTCCCCCTTCTCTCCTCTTTAAATCATTCTTCTGCTGATAGGCATTTCACATTCGACTGGTGTTACATATTACTTATATTATTTGTCAATATCAGTAACATACACCAACATATATACCCAAGCTCCCAACTTTGGGGAAATTTTGGGGTTTTTGTGCCATTTACCCAAACTTTACTATAGCGGCTTCCTCAAAATTGGGAGCTTAGGTATATACAGATCGAAATCTGTTTGTAGTCAATCGTAACTAATCTTAATTGATTTTGGCAACTGTTGAATTATTTCATTATAAAATCAACCAACTAGAATGTAATTGTTTGTTATTGTTGTCTGTGTAATGTGTTGCATGAAATTTGACCAACTGACCTTAGAATATTGTTTTGATTGATTATCGTGTATTCATGTATCGTATATGATTAATGACAGATGTAAACAATTGGTGAATAAATCTCTTTTTTTTTCTTCTAAAGAAAGAAACGATATTTTTGAATTATCTATGATCATCTAGGGGATAATTGATAATGAAATGAATTCACCGGTTGAAGATAGTGGACAGGAAATGTTGATTGGTTTAAGTTAGTTGATGTATGGCACTTGAAGGAAATGATGCTCCCTGGTACATTCGATCTAATGACTTACAGGCGATTAGTTACATCTTGAATGATTCTGATGTAACGTACAAGTTTATGAGGCTGAGTGATATGGGAGTGAAACCGCTTAAGAACGTCAACTGCCTTAAGATTCCTGGTATACTTTGCTGAAGAGTGTTAAAAAGTACGAAACCCACGTAAAATAGGGTTTCTTGTTGACTATCTTCAACATAGTACACGTGATGTCGTAACCAAGACTAATGACCACATTAAAGTTTGACTGGTAAAATTTGATCGGTACTACGAAGTTTTTGACATAAACAAGATTAATCACTTATCGACAATCAGTCAATTGTAAATAAGTCCACCGCTTGACTACAATAACTTGAAGATCGCATCCTTTATTTAGGATAGTATTTTGGTGTGGTTATGTTAGAGATTTATTGATTAGTTCTAGTCACTTACCTTGTTTAGGATCAGATCATGATAAAGTTGCCAAGTTAAAAATATATTATTGTTTTAACTTCCTAATGTGATTTATGTTAAAACTAACAGACTAATTTTGTTAATTGAAGAGATCAGTGTCAGAAGGGGTCTTGTGGAGATTGTAGTAATTGCTTAAATTGAGATAATGAGTCAGTTGAAACCAGAACACCATGGAAAACCTGGAAGCACTTGATGGCCGTCTCGTCCTAGTATGGGACTCCTCAGCATTGAGCATCAACGATCCAGCCACCCGGGATTCGAACATAGGACCTATCAGTCTCGCGCGTGAGCACTTAACCTCTAGACCACTGGGCAGGCCGAAATCCAACTGTCCAAATTCAACTAATCCACGAAACTGAGCGACACATCCACCATTGTCATCAGTGAGTTACTATCACACAGGAGACCCGGTTCAATCGCAGAGATAATTAGACACATGACAAAAATCACTTTACTTAAATGTCAATCACACTGAGTTACTTTGATTTTAGGAGACTATCTCATTCATTGAAATCATGATCACCATTAAAAACCTGGAACAACTGGACGGTCAATTTATCCTAGTATGGAACTCCTCAAAAGTGCTCATCCAATACCACGCCATCAGGACTCAAACCTGACACAGGATGGACTCCAATGGTAACGATTGATAAAAGTATAATGTATAAATTTCCTAAGTTTAAAGTAAAAAAAGTTAACATGTCAAAATAGACGATTTGTAAAGTGTAAAACTTACTAATTTGTTCATTTGTATATGGTACAATAGTACTACTACTACTATTAGTAGTAGTAATAGTAGTAGTAGTAGCTGTAATGATATTACAATTATTTTGACCATTTCCACTTATTCCTAATGTACTCCATGATGATGATGACGATGATAATGTTGATGAATTCGATGGAGATAAACCATTCAAATGTGTATTGGATAAGACAGATAAAGCATTCATATGACTATTAGATTGTATAGAATTCATATTAGATTGATTTATAATAGTATTATGTAATCCTTTATGATCCATAGTCGGACTTTGTGGTAAGTTGGATGGATGTCCAGGAGGAAGACTATTATTGTTGTTGTTACTATGATAGATAGAGTTGTGTTGTATTGATGATGTAGGACAATCTATATCACTTTGTGAATGTATTGATAGTGTTGATGATGATGTGGTCTTTTTACGGAATGCTTTACCAAGTGAATTACGAAACTAATTTTGTGATAAAAAAGGAAATAATATTAGGTAAATAGAAGCAATAAATGTGATGAATTCAAAATCAAAGCATTACTGACATAGAGAAAGAACAGAGTAGTAGTCATAGTGAATATGAAGGTGGAATATATTAGTGATCCAACATAAGTCTGTTGAGCAACGTAGGCTATGAAATTGTGGCTTTAATAGTATACAGTAATTTCATTGAAATCATGAACCGATATTAGTTAGACCATTACTGAAAACCTGAAAGCACTGAATGGTTATTCGGCCTCCAAATGCCGTGGTATAGCCGAGAGTGGGGAGAGTCAGCTCTCCCTCCATTGAGAACCAGAGCAACTATTAATTTAAGTACATGGAATGCTCGTACAATGTGGGAGACCGGGAGAGTTATCCAAATTGCTGCAGAAATAAGGAGATATATTGGACGCAGGTTGGAGAACAACGAATAGCTTCAGGTGAGCTTTATAAGACAAGCCCTTATATGGAATTCTCAAGGCCAAAAGAAAAGAGGAAGACCACGGAACACATTACGCCGGGAAATCGAAACAGACATGAGAAAAATGAACAAAAATTGGATAGAACTAGAAAGGAAGGCCCAGGACATTGTGGGTTGGAGAATGCTAGTCGGCGGCCTATGCTCTATTGGGAGTAACAGGTGTAAGTAAGTAAGTAATCATATATACCGTCATGGTTTTACTCATGTGATTTGTTGCATGGTAAGAACCGTCTACCAAGAATCGAAGTTCGAATTTCAGTGTAAACAATGAAAGTCAATTATTTCATTCGCTCTCACTCTCTCTTTACATCCACCCATCCACCCATCCACACACACACACACACTAATATTTATAAGCACCTGTTTAGAAGAATTCGTTTTCCTGCCTAAATTACAGTAATCAACTACTGATGTTATCACGCCTCATGGTGAAAGCCGTGTTCCTTCGGAAGTCACGAGGCTGATTCCCCTTCTGACAACCAGAGCAACTATTAATTTAGGTACATGGAACGCTCGTACAATGTGGGAGACCGGGAGAGTCTTCCAAATTGCTGAAGAAATAAGGAGATACATTGGAGGCAGGTTGGACAACAACGACTAGCTTCAGGTGAGCTTTATAAGACAAACTCTTACATGAAATTCTCAAGGCCAAAGGAAAAGAAGAAGACCCTGGAACACATTACGCCGGGAAATGGAGACAGACAAAAAAAAGATCAACAATTGGATAGAACTAGAGAGGAACGCCCAAGACAGAGTGGGTTGGAGAATGCTGGTCGGCGGCCTATACTCCATTGGGAGTTACAGGCGTAAGTATATAAGTAAGTAAGTAAATAATCATATACATATTTATATATCCGGAAATTTCAGTGTAAACAATGAAACTAAATTATTCCATTCACTCTCACTCTCTCTCTACAACCAACTTACCACCCACCCACACACATACACTAATATATATAAGCACCTATTTAGAAGAATTCGTTTTCCTGCCTAAATTACAGTAATCAACTACTGAATAGCAAATTTTCTAAGGTATTAATCATTTTACCATCAAGTATGTACAATTAATAATCATACTAATGCAATAATAATAATAATGATAATGTATCTGTTGAAGGGAAACCTAATGGAATACAAGAGTGTGTTTCACTTTTAGAATTCCAATGAATTTCATAATACATACAACTAAGCTACCCAATAACATTCATATACACACATATACCTTAGCATAAATAGTTCACAGTTGAAGAGAGAAATGAATGAAACAAGAAGAGAAAAAGAAAACAAGGAAAGAAAAGAAAAGAAACGAAAAGAAAAAAGCCCAAATGAAACAGGTGAAACTATGATTAGGATTATTCATAGTTGAATATATGCGTTGGTTGGCCTATTTATTGATTCAAAGAGATGATTAATTAATCAACAATGTTTGACCAATTAATCTAGATAAGGTCAACTAACAAATACATTTATGATAATGATAATAATAATAATAAGGGTTTAACGGAATGTGTTTTATGAACATTTATTCAATATGTAGATTGTATTTATCATAGATTGATTTCGTTGATTGGAAACCATTAGTAACAGTTTACGATGAGAGAGGACAAACCAACCTTTAGCTGAGGAGGAAATCAGGAAAAGACATTGGAAGTGGATATGATATGACATTATGGAAATCACCAAAATGCATCAAGAAGCTAGCCCTAACTTGGACTTCTGGAGGGAAATGGAAAAGTGGAAGGTCGAAGAACACACCACGTCGGGAATCGGAAGTAGACATGAAAAGTATTAATAGCAACTTGAAAGAACTGGAAAAGATTGTTCAGGATAGGGTTGAATGGAGAATGCTAATGGATGATCTATGCCTCTTCACAAGAGGTAAAAAGTGTAAGTTTTCAGTTGAGTTACCAATGAAAGTTGGGGTGAATCACTAGATAGCTGTTTCCTTCTAATTTGGAACTCTTCAAGGAGTGATCATTGACCGCTTCGTTGGCGATAGAATGCAAAACCTTAAGGACTCGATGCTAGTAAGTGATGTGTTACTTTTAATTCGACAATTCTCACAATTCCTTATGTAAAAACTTTTCATGTGATTATAGGTGACTAACTTTTAGAGGTAATTCCTGAAGTTCTATTGAGAAGATGGGACCAATGGAGTTCAGCCACACTGAGCATTAGATGGATATCAACAACAACGAATGATGATCGAATGCTATCTGAGCGATCCAAAAGTTAGGTGCTCTTCACAAAGCCTGAAAATCCTGGGTTCAACCCCTAGATGGTACTGTAGACACACACTAATGAGGAGTTTCATACTAAGAGGAAACATATTTAGTAGTTCGTAGTTTTTAACAGTTATCAAAATACAGTCAGTTCATGATCCCTTGGTAGATTACATATTAAGACGAAAAAGTTAACCAGTGCTTCAATAGTTTTATTGAGTTAAATCTATAATGTAAAGTAACGAAAGTATTAATTCATTTAGTATTGTTTATTTGAATCTTCCGATTGATGTTTAGGACTGCAATTGATCATTCTCTCTCTTATTGGCATATGTGCATTCTGTGCGGATTAGCTGAATATTACCATTAAGTTATAAGCATTAGGTTCGAGTCCTAATGTAATCAACAATATTAGGATATGACAGGTACATCCAGCTGTTATGATTCCCGAGTAGGATGAAATAAGCGTTCAGATGGTGATTGGAGGGAACCTTGGACCCGGTTTTTGTGCTACTTAGCACTCATCTCCAAGGTATACCTGTAATGTTGAGGGAACTGGTGCCCCTTGACATATTCGATCCGGTGTCACCCAGACTCACAGTCGGAGAAGTTACCACTAGGCTATCCGGGTCGTGACCGACCCTCCTGTAGGACTGTGGTGTAATCACAATTGATTGATCACTAGGTGGTGATCAATTTCATGTGTATCAAGTATTTCTTAGTTGAGATCGATTGCTATCGACAAGTTTCAATGTGGCCGCTAGTCTAAGTGACTCGACATTGCGTGCACTATATTGAGATTAGATGGTGACTGTAGGTAGTCGACAGGAACAGACAAGTGGCCACATTTTAACTTGGTCGGTAGCATTTGATCTGCCTAAGAAGGACTGAACACCTGACATTCATCACCACTCAGTGATCAATCAATTGTGATAAAATAAGCGCCCTAGATTCCACCATTAATCACAAGTGAACTAAACAAAAACACTATAGTTCATAAGTTTAGACAGTTTCATTAACAGTTGTACACAAGACAAACTATCTAGAATATAAATTCACTTGGTATTGTTTGGCTTGTATCTTCCCAAAAAGCTTGTGAACTAAGGTAATATCGAGGCATGCGCACAGTATGCACATATGCCAATAACAGACTGATCAATTGCAGTCTTAAACCTCAATGGAAAGATACAAGCCAAACAATACATAGTGAATTTTAATTCACCCCATTGCACAAGCAAATGGCTATCAGGACTCAGTAGCTGAGTTGATAACGCGATGGCGTTTAAAGCGAATGGCACTGGGGTCGAGTCCCAGAGAGAACATCAACTCTGAGATGCAGGTACATCCAGTTGACGAGTCTCAAATAGGACGAGACGCGCGTTCTGGATTCCACTGCTAGCCACTATCCATCATTGCTTACAAAATATCTAAAATATGTATACCAAAATTTCTTACCCATCCATTTTTCTTCACATTAGTTCCTGAAGATTTACAACCGGATGTGGTAGATGATACTTTATCAATTGAATTATCCATTTGTAGTTGTTGACTATCTACATCAGTAAGACTTGCATTTGAAATTGTTAAACGTGAATTAATATGTGCTTGTTCATTCTCACTATTACTACCAGTATTGGAAGTAGTATTAGTAGTAATAATAGTAGTGGTAGAAGTAGAGTAGTAGTAGTAGTAGTAGTAGTAGTAGTAGAAATGCATGAATTTTCTTGTTGTTTCAATGTATCATTAGTAAATGATCTATTCAATTCACAAGGTCGATTAATTGGCGGTTTTTTTAATAGTCCTAATTCTGTTTGACTACGTAATGCATCAATTGTTGCTCTTAATTCATGTAGTTCTGAATCCTTTCGAAGAAAAAAAATGCCAAAAAAATCATATATTTATATATACTAAATTACAGTAATTGTATAACTTGATACAATAGTGAATTAATTCAAGTTATTTTGTATTACAATATCGGGATCCCATTCAAACGTCTTCCTAACGTACATATACCGTCATCGATGCTATGGCCTTGGATTACTTACTTACTTACCTACGCCTGTTACTACCAATGAAGTATAGGCCCCCGACCAGCATTCTCCAACTCACTCTGTCCTGGGCCTTCCTGTCCAGTCCTGTCCAATTGCCTATGATTGGCTTTCATTGATTAGTTGTGTATGATAATCATATGAACTAGCGCACTTTCATTAAATGTTTACAAACTATTGAAAAATTAATATCTTTTTGTATTGGTTGTTTGAATCTTTCCATTGATCAGTCTCTCTTATTGGCATATGTTCATCATAAGTGGATTGCGTCGATATTGCCGTAAATCACAATCGTTATAAGCGTAGAGATGGATGGTGGCTAACAGTGGAATCTATTACGGACGTTTCGTTTAATTTCAAACTCGTCAGCTGGATGTGCCTGCATCCCAGCGTTGATGTTCAATCAAGGACTCTAACACTGTACCGTTAACTTTAAACCCCATCACGTTATTCCGTTAGCTACTGAGTCCAGATAGCCATTAGATTGTGTCAATGGGTAAATTACAATTCATTCGTATTACTTACTTAAAGCACTGGATGGTCGGTCCGTCCTAGTGTAGTGAATGAGAACACCAATGGGGACAACCGAATGTATTTTGATACAAAATTACAGAATCTCATAGTAAAATCTGAGACTCATACAGTAAATTCTTCATTTGCAAAATATCCATCAATTGTCTAAAACTTTGTTATTCCTTCGCTTCTACACCAGTCACTCTCTTCTCGTTCTCTTTTCTCCAATCTTCTTTACTTTCTACAGCCAGACATTTTACTTTAAGTTGATGATACATACTACTTATATCTGTCGACATCAGCAGAACATACCACACTAGTATGGGACTCCTCAGCAGTGCACATCCACAATCCTACACGCGGGATCCTCATTCTGTTCAATATTTTATGTTATTATATTCCAATATCAAAGTCATTGGTAGATAAACCGTGTTGTTTTATCATAATTTTCACATTTTTAAATATTAAACTTTTCCTGAATTCCTGTTTTTTTCTTTTCTGATCATTTGGAAGATTTTGACTATGTGGTAATTAGTTGCCGGACACTGTCGAGCATAAAGAACCTATTCCATAATCGGAAGCTGTCTTCAATATAGAACAGCTTCAAATTAGAATGGAAAAGTAGGGGTTAAATTCATTCTAATTTTGTTTTAATGAACTGACAACTGACAACAATTTCATCTTCAAGTGTAAATGATCTTTAAATTCAGATAAACATTAGTTGTTGAATAGTAGATGAATAAGGATGATGGTGATGATGTTGATATCCCTAACAATAGCTGCATGTTTAACACGGTAATCTGGCTTGCCTATTGTGATGACGTAATCAAGCTATCATGGTCAGAATATCTATTTCTTCAGGTCCTACCATACTAGTTAGGTCAGCTGAAGAATAATAAGACTGAAGGCTGCAACTTGAAATCTTAGAGCAAAGTCATACCGCTATCTGTATGGAGGTGTAATGGTAGTAAGGTATTACTCTCAGACAATTATAATTTGCAGTCATGCTGACTTCCAACAATGAAAGGAAGTGGTTATAAAGATCGGGATTAAAATTAAC